GGCATGGTCCAGATTCTACTATTAACAAATAGTAGACAGTTTGCTGGGTGCAGCGCAACACTCAAATTTCAAGGCAGGATCTGCCCGCCTCATCAAATCAGATCAGGTAAATAATAATCGTTAAACGTATTAATTGTTTTAAGAGTCACTTGGGGTGTATCTTTTTCTACAAGATTTTGTTCCCTGCAGACCAACCCACCTTTCTACGCCCCACTGGTGGAGCTCATCCCCGCCCCTTGGACTGCCGAGGACGTCGTTCCCACAGCAAAGACGTTGATGGACTGCATTGGACAGGACACCATCATTCTCAACCGGGAGATTGACGGCTTCGTTCTCAACCGTATCCACTACGCTATCCTGGGAGAAGGCTGGCGTCTTATCAGGGTAAACGTCACCGCGTCAACTTACGTACTTATCATCTTATTCTTAGCGCTTAATAGCATATTCTTCACCACAGAAATGTAAGCACCAAGCTACGCACATTCGTCGCCTTCTAAATGTTAGCAGCAGGATAACCATGTAACATCACTATGGACAGGTTGGCAAGATGGTCAACGCGTTTCATCACAGCGGACATTTTGGCGAAAGGGTAAACATATTACGTTCCAAAAAGATCTCTATGGAAATAGGGTAAAAACATGGCGTCAACATGGAGTTGTTAGTAATAGGGTAAACAGATGCCGTCAACATGGAAATGTTAACAATAGGGTAAACACATGGCGTCAACATGGAAATGTTAACAATAGGGTAAACACATGGCGTCAACATGGAAATGTTAACAATAGGGTAAGCACATGGGTTCAACATGTTAATGTTAACAATAGGGTAATCACATGGCGTCTACATGTTAATGTTAACAATAGGGTAATCACATGGCATCAACATGGAGATGTTAACAATAGGGTAAACACATGGCGTAAACATGATGATGTTAACAATAGGGTAAACACATGGCGTCAACATGGAAATGTTAACAATAGGGTAAACACATGGCGTCAACATGGAAATGTTAACAATAGGGTAAGCACATGGGTTCAACATGTTCATGTTAACAATAGGGTAATCACATGGCGTCTACATGTTAATGTTAACAATAGGGTAATCACATGGCATCATCATGGAAATATTAACAATAGGGTAATCACATGTCGTCAACAAGGAAATGTTAACAATAGGGTAAACACATGCCGTCAAATGTTAGCATTAGGGTACATGCACTAAGCCAACATGGAAATGTTAACAATAGGGTAAACACATGGCGTCCACATGTTAATGTTAACAATAGGGTAAATACATGGGTAAATAACAATGGTAAATACATCAACATGTTAATGTTAACATTAGGGTAAAAACATGCCGTCAACATGTTAATGCTAACAATAGGGTAAACACTTGGCATCAACATGGAGATGTTAGTAATAGGGTAAACACATGGCGTCAACATGGAAATGTTAACAATAGGGTAAACACATGCCGTCAACATGGACATGTTAACAATAGGGCAAATGCATGGAGTCAACATGGAAATGTTAACAATTGGGTAAGCACAAGGCGTAAACATGGAAATGTTAACAATAGGGTAAATTCGTGAGAATGGACATTTTGGAGAAAGGGTAAACATGTTACCTTACGCAATACATATGGCGATAGCCTAGATATATCGTCACAATGGCAAAATTATATCCCCAAACACATTTTAGCAAGAGGATAAAAATGTTTCTCAACCATTGTTTTGTTCTGAACACGATACTCTTTCAGTCACTGAGACGAGCCATACAATGTTGTTGTTTTTCTTCGTAGGTGATGCTGGACATTTTTAGTTGTTTTATAACAAATCGTCTATATCCTTCAATGTTGTCTATTTATTTACAAAAATCCGAGGCAATACCAAGAATATCATACGGCCGGTCGTTAAGCATCATACTGACAAAGCTGCACATTATTCATAGAAACGAAATGTCAGTGTTATGTTCGCGACAACACAAATGGAAGAGCCCAAGTCAAATCTAGTTCCAAGCGGAACATGCAAAACAACATCCTCGATAATCTCCAGGGTATGTTACGATCACTCTCCACTATAGTGATCGTAACGTATACCCTGGAGATTATCGAGGATGGCAATACAATTCCATATACATGAATGAACATATAGACATAATTCAGGTGGACCATTTTGTACTCCAGGATATGTTGAACGTACACGGTGACTTCATGATGCAACGTGTTCGTGGCAAATGATGATGTACCAGTGAAACACGTTCTCCAAGAAGTAAAACGATGTCTTTAAAAACGTTACAAAACTGTTGTTGTCGGGTTAAACATTGACTTCTGATGATTTATGTATGAATGAACACTTACAGATTATAAGGAACTTTTTGGTGTATGTATCCTACTGGATGTCATGGTGAGATTATGAAGGTTAATACTTTCTGTGCCTTACAAGATGTGTGTGTGTGTGTGTGTGTGTGTGAGAGAGTGTGTGTGTGTGTGTGTGTGTGTGAGGTGTTTTGGTTATAGGCGAAATTGTTTATCATACCGGAAGCCATGGTGATAATGCCATGGGGTAATGTTTTGTGTGCCCTACAGAGGGGCATGGTCAGATTTCTTTTGCAATTGCTTTTTGTCCATAGCCTGCAACAGGATGTCATCGTGAGGTTCTTATAGGTTAATCCCAGCATGGGTACAATGTGTGAAGCCCTTTTCTGGTGTCCCCCGCCGTGACATTGCTGGGATATTGCTAAAAGTGGCGAAAACCAGACTCACTCACTCAATCAATTATAGGTTAATGTTTTGTTTATCATACAAGACGCCATAGTGGGGTAATGTTTTGCGTGCCCTACAGCTGATGGTGAGATTTCCTTTGCGATAGTTTACTGTATTGTGCCTTCAACAGGATGGAATGGTGAGATATTTATAGGTCAATGTTTTGCGTGGCCTACAGAGGGGCATGGTCAGATTGTATTGTGCCTTCAACAGGATGGAATGGTGAGATATTTATAGGTCAATGTTTTGTGTGGCCTATCGGACAGCTTGGTAAATATGTTATGGTTAATGTTGTTGTGTGTTCAACAGGATGGTATTGTGAGCGTGGCTGACTTGGACCGCGTCATGTCGTCCGGTCTCGGCGTGAGATACGCCTTTGCTGGACCCTTCGAGACAGCGTATCTTAACGCAGATGGTACGTACATATTCGGACACCTGAAGAGCCGGGTTAGAATTGGTCTTCAGCAACCCATGTTTGTCGTATTAGGACATTAACGGGATCAGGTGGTCAGGCTTGCTGATTTGGTTGACGCATGTCATCGTATCCCAGTTATGTAGATCAATGCTCATGCTGCTGATGACTAGAGGATTGTCTGGTAGCGACGTAAAACCACACTCACTCATAACAATTAACCGTCGCATGCATGTCTTAACCGTGACTTTAAATGCAAACATTGTCATCAATCTCCCAATCTGGTATCCAGACTCCAGACAACTGATGTCCGTTTTACTTTTCAGGTTTTGTAAGCTTCTGTGACCGTTACCGGGACGTGATCTATCGAGTTCAAAGGTCAGCCGGTGACCCGGAACTGATGGACGGTGACACGATGGAACGCGTTCAGTCAGAAATGGAGCAAGTGGCGGGTCCAGTGTCAGAGCTGGACAGCAGACGACAATGGCGGGATAGGAGACTTCTTGGCTTGGCCAAACTGAAGAGGGACTTGAGCGAGAAATAGTAGAAACAGGTTCTAGGAAATGATACTGTCTTCAGATGTATGGATTTGAGAAACTATGCATGTGTTTAATTTATGAGTACCTGCGTATCACGTTATGAAGTTCTTGACAGCCACGTCGCTTTGGGACATACACTAGTTGCTTGGGGATATGTCCATTAAATCGTTGTGTGGGGTGCATCAGTTCTGGATAAACACGAAACTAACCAGGGTGTATATTATATTTATTATAGATGATAGAAAAGGTTTTAGTGTTTATTCTTCATTCTTTTTCAAATATGGCTACTTTGTCATCCGACGAAACCACCATATTTATTTCAAAGTAATTGAGAAATGACATGACTCAGCCGTGGCTAGAAGTTTGTAACGGGCGGTATATTTACTCTCACACCCTTTTGACCACACAGTGCTCTAATATTACATTTTGTTACATAGCTCACGTATCCAGACATCTCTGCTGGTTATTTGTTCCACGGGGAGTATTAAAGAAAAACAGATTATAGTTACTCTGTTATACGACGACAGATTAACTATTTAAAAGTAATTGGGTATTCTTTGGCACAATTTCACACAATATTTTGAACTATATTATATATATAGTGCAGCATATGCACTCACTTTAGCTTCCTATTGATGCAATAAAAGACTTATTATCCCTTACCACTTGCCTGAAATTAATAATTGAAACTTCGAGGCGAACAGCTTCCAAACAGAGAACACTTACCATATATGAAATGTAAACAATTGCTCCGTACATCGTAAACTATCGCGTGTGGTGTGTGGCTTCAATCACAAGTTGTGCGTAAGATATTCGTAAAGAGCGCTCCAAGGGACATAACTCTATGGCGTTCGCTGGAAATAATGTTCGGCTGGTAGAGGGCGCGAGATTCGATTTGATGCAACGTTGCATTAATGCATTCGAACTTTTTAATCTAATATTGTAATCTAAATACGTATTTTTTTAAATAAATTACATGGCAGCTTTCCTGAGGGCTGATAGTATTGAGAGAAATGCAATATTATTTTAGAGAAGTGTGGTGTGAAATAGTGCCGACACACATCCAGCATTATCGCAATATCAGTGTTGAAGAATGTGTTATTCCAGCCAATAAATGACAGGGTTACTAATAGGGGATTCCACATGTTGAACCGTATATAGAGTCGAACTCGGACGTTCGGCGTGATGGCCGAACTTTGTAGCTGTATCTAAGCTGGTCCAATATACAACCTGTTAACTGCTGTGCCGCTTCAGACGTCTTGTAAACATCAAGCCACACATTGAAAGGTGATCAAATATTTATTTGTGAGTAATACATATTATCATCTTGGGACATCAAGTGGATTTGAATCTTTTGACATGAGGTGTATTTGAATTCACACCCTCCCCCTCTTGTATATATATCTGACCTTGTGGATTTCTTTGTTAAAGAGATGCACCCGCTAGTGCTGCCAAAACCTCGACATGTGTTCCTCTCTTACACAATAGAATAGACTAGCTTAGTACATATCCGTAAACAGTGGAACAGTGACCCGCACTTTCAACGTTGCTCTCAGACACACGGTAATATTGTCTTGTAGACAGACACACACACAATGGACAGCCGTACAACACAGACAATTATCAATACAGACAGGTACACGTCACAGGTAGACTAGTTCCCATTCTCCCATGCGCAATGATTTACGGTGACAACCGACAAGTGACACTTAAAAGGAAACCAGTTTAACGGCACAAATATTCGACACAACAAGTCACACAGTTAAGGGGCAGGTGTGTTAGTTCAGATCACGTTTGAGTTTGGCCAGTGAGGCTAGGCGTTCGTCTCTCCATCTCCGTCTGTCAGCGAGTGCTTCAAGTGGAATTGTCTGACTGAGCTCCTGCTGCACTGTCTCGGCCGTGGGGACGTCGTACAACACCGGGGGCGGTTTGAACGTCTCGCACACCTTGTAGGCGCCATTGGCATACCGATGGCAGTAGTCTACGATTCCTGCAAAAACAGGTGCACCGGAAACAATAGTTTAAAACAAATGGTAATCAGATGTTGGCATGAAAATAATAATAAAGTTCTATAAGCATCCCCTCACTTCTGAGGTAAAAGACATGAAACTAGGTTGGCATTTTCAGTAAACTCTGGTGCAAGTACTTACCATCAGCATTGAGGTGCATTGTCTCCAGGGGTCCGATGAAGGCATAGCGGGGCCCCAGGCCATCATACATGACTCTGTCAATGTCACTTGGACTCAGGACCCCGGACTGGAAGGAAACAGAATCTTTGCAGTGATATTCAGGGTTCTCATCTTTGACCCTTCACTATGTCCCATACGGATGAAATATTTGGGACCACATCAGATTCTTTCCTCTTTGTCCCACGATGATGGCAAATTTGATTAAGTAAGGAATCGCATCAGATCCTAGCCTATACACTATACTGATGATATACTTGATCAAATTGGCGATGGCATCAGTCCCTTTACCCTGTCTGACCTATGCTGATGACACACTTGATCAAATTGGCGATGACATCAGGCCCTTTACCCTGTCTAACCTATGCTGATGACACACTTGATCAAATTGGCGATGACATCAGGCCCTTTACCCTGTCTGGCCTATGTTGATGACACACTTGATCAAATTGGCGATGCCATCAGTCCCTTTACCAAGATGACCTATGCTGATGACACACTTGATCAAATTGGTGACAGACATCAGACCCTTTACCCTGTCTGACCTATGTTGACTGGTGACATGATCAAATTGGCGATGTCATCAGACCCTTTGCCTGTCTGACCTGACTGATGACACACTTGATCAAATTGGAGACCACATTGGCTGCCTTTCTATACTGATGACATATTTAGATGACCATATTTGGAGCACACACATCCCTTGCGCTTTTGACTGCTTTTACCATGTATGGCATACAAATTCAGATCACACAATGTCCCTTATTTCGACCTTGACCAAGTCTATACTTGTTCATACTGATGACATACTTAATCAAATTGAAGACCACATCCGATGCCTTTCCCTGACTGGTGACATACTAGATAAAATTGGAGACCACATCCGATACCTTTCCCTATAACTATGTCATAGACTAGTGACATACTAGATAAAATTGGAGACCACATCCGATGCCTTTCCCTGACTGGTGACATACTAGATAAAATTGAGACCACATCCGAGACTGGTGACATACATCCGATGCCTTTCCCTGACTGGTGACATACTAGATAAAATTGGAGACCACATCCGATGCCTTTCCCTGACTGGTGACATACTAGATAAAATTGGAGACCACATCCGATGCCTTTCCCTGACTGGTGACATACTAGATAAAATTGGAGACCACATCCGATGCCTTTCCCCTGACTGGTGACATACTAGATAAAATTGAGACCACATCCGATGCCTTTCCCTGACTGGTGACATACTAGATAAAATTGGAGACCACATCCGATGCCTTTCCCTGACTGGTGACATACTAGATAAAATTGGAGACCACATCCGATGCCTTTCCCTGACTGGTGACATACTAGATAAAATTGGAGACCACATCCGATGCCTTTCCCTGACTGGTGACATACTAGATAAAATTGGAGACCACATCCGATGCCTTTCCCTGACTGGTGACATACTAGATAAAATTGGAGACCACATCAGGTGCCTTACTTTGACCATGTCCCAACATTCGTTGATGATGGCATATTGGATGCGGTTGAGGGCAAATCCTGGGACCTCCTTGTTGAGGGTGACGGGCGACTGTCCCACTTCCTCCATGAGAGCCCGGGTCTTCAGGGTCACATCCGGGGACGTCCAGGGGGCTGGGATAAGCTCCACCAGCGGGATAAAGTAGGGGGGATTTACCTGCAACAGTGAGAGTGGTCACTTGCATGGTCTAGTCGATCACTAAACTAGTCAGCATTTGACATGTTCATTTATCTTACCTCACACATAAATGTCGCTTTCTGATTGGCTGAGAGCTCTTCTATTATTTTCAATGTACCCCGCGACTACAAGCGAGTAACATTTCAATGTACCCCGCTGTCAATGGCAACTCATTTGGTACTTCGTGGTAGTAATTCTTTATCTCGAATTACATTGAATCACGTATGATGTACGGAAATTACCGATGTTTTGCAAATGCAAATCAATGGAAGGGAGATAACTCTAAATCTGTTTTTCTTGTCAGCCATATCTAGCGATGGCTACAAACAGATTTTTACCCGTGCTTCAAACAACATATAAAATTAAAATTAAGGTGTTCGGTAAGATAAATACGTTGTTCACTGGTCCCTCGGGGCCCATGGGTTGATGTACTCTCGATGTTTGTTTATGTTCCTCTCGCCCTTCCGGCTCAAACTGTTTAAGCTGATTATTTAACAAAACATAGCTTATCAATCACTGAAGACTCAAATGTAAAGTTAAATTCAATGGAACTACCAGCCTCTGTAAGTTGAATCGTCATTACGCCATATTCACTTACCGGGTGAGCAATCAGTACATTCTCTCTGTGCTTCAGGTTTGCTGCAAAATCGGAAGACAAGATGCAGCTGCTTGAGCTTGCAAGAACCATGTTTGGTCCTGCATGTTGGTCCAGTTGCTCAAACACTTTCCTCTTGAGGTTGACATCTTCAGGCACGCATTCCTTTAAACAGATTACAACCACCATGGAACTGAATGAGGTACGTTGGTGGGCCATTGGTATGTTTCGGGTAAGTAAGTGAATGGGCAATACTCTAGTAATATGGGCAATACTCTATGGTTTTACGCCGTTTTAATATCAATATCACGGCGGGGACAGTAATGGACAAGTTGTACCCATGTATGCCTTCGGCGTGATCACGGCGGGGACTAACACTTCAACCACTACACTACTCACCAGTCCCTCAGCAGGCACAATAATGTGTTCTTTAAACATTTTGGAATTGACATTGGAATATTGCTGGATTGAAAATGGTCTCAATTATGTGACACATATCTTATCTACCCACAATAATTCAAAATCATGACATGTACCTGTACATGTTTGGCACCCAGCATGCACTCTGCAAGATCACTACTTCCTGTCACCAGCTGGGCTTGTTCTGCGGCCGACAGCTTCCCCCTCAGACTGCCCTCCTTCTCATACCGAGCCAAGGACTCCTGGATAGAGGTCAGAGCGCCTTTAACCTGCTCAGGACTGATGTCGTATATAGACACCCGGTACCCAGCCCCGGCGAATATCATGGACCAGATGCGTCCAATGAGGCCACTGTAACAGGTCATAAATGATTGGTTAATATTTGTTTGTTGGTTAGTTGTCTTAACGCCGCACTCAGGAATATGTCAACCATATGACAGCGGTCTAAAAACAATGGAGTCTCGACCAAACAATCCGGTGACTGGTATTATGACTATCATCCACGACCATTTCGTATGAGATAACGCATATCAAGCGCGTCACCGAGTCTGGCCAACCGATCCTCTTATCAGAGGGATGGATAACTAGAGCTGAAGGGTTCATTGTCGGCACAGGTACTACAGATATGTACACCAGGTACGTTTCTGTACACAGAAAATCATCTAATGCAGCTGTATGACAGTTTCGATCAAGGAAACGGCACGTTTCTGTATCCTGATTTTGGCTTTGGTACGTTTCAGTACACAGAAACGTACCTGGGGTAATAATAATAATAATAATAAAGTTCAGATTTGTAATGCGCCTGAATCCAATAATTGCTCAGAGGCGCAGGCCATAGCCTTGTTGGAATAAAAGGGTCTTAATCTCTTGCTTAAACGTCTCAAAGTCTGTGATTGTCTGACAGTTCTGCGGAAGCTTATTCCACAGAGTGGGACCCGCCTTGATGGAACTTCTGTCACCAAATTGAACTGTCCGCGTCCTCGGAACTGTCAGTTGAAGTGTTGCTGAAGACCTCAACGATCTGGCTGGTTCATACTTGTGGATAAGGTCCTCAAGATATGATGGAGCTTGATGATGTATGGCTTTGAACACAAACATGAGAAGCTTGTACTGAATGCGGTACTGAACTGGAATCCAGTGAAGTTGTTGCAAGATTGGTGTGATATGCTCATGCTTGTTAGTTCCACAAATAAGTGTGGCTGCCGAATTCTGAATTCGTTGTAGCTTGGCTAAGCACTGTTGACTGGAACCATATAGCAAGGAATTGCAGTAGTCCATGCGTGAGGTAACGAATGCATGGATTAGAGTCTTTGTTGCCTCAGTGCCGATATACCGCCGAATTTGCCCGATGTTACGAAGATGAAAGTATGCGGTTTTGCATACAGCGTCAGTGTGTTCGTCCATAACTAACGAAGATTGGAAGATGACGCCAAGATTCCTAGCTTTTTCACTTCGTTGGACCAAACAGTTCCCGATTTGTAGACCTGGGGTTTGTAACCGAGGAATCATATTTCTGGAGCTGATGATGAGAAGTTCTGTCTTATCATCATTAAGTTTCAAGTAATTTTCAGCCATCCAGTGTCGAATATCCTTAATACATGTTGAGATTGATTGAAAAGCATCTGCGGTTGAAGAGGGGACAAGAGGTCTAAATCCAAGATAAATCTGAGTATCATCTGCGTACAGATGAAATGATAGACTGTGCCTCCTAGCGATATCTCCAACTGGCAGAGTGTATATGGTGAACAACAGAGGTCCAAGGACTGAACCTTGAGGAACTCCGTACTCCAGATGATGACGGCTTGATTTGGAGCCATGTATAATCACAGCCTGGTATCGGTCCGTGAGGTAGGACTTAAACCAAGTTAGAGCTCTACCTTAGATGCCAATGCGCGATTCAAGCAGGGAGAGGAGGATACCATGGTCGATGGTATCAAAGGCCGAATATAGGTCTAGAGTGAGTGAGTTTGGTTTTTCCGCCGCTTTTAGCAATATTCCAGCAATATCACGGCGAGGGACACCAGAAATGGGCTTAACACATTGTACCCATGTAGGGAATCGAACCCGGGCCTCGGCGTGACGAGCGAACGCCTCAACCACTAGGCTACCCCACCGCCCCAGATAGGTCTAGAAGAACCAGGGCTGCTGCGCATTTGGTGTCGACTTCACTGAGAAGGTCGTTCACATCTGTAATGTTCTTGTCGACAACGATCCATTCAGCATTGCTGAAGGATTAGATAATTGCATCAGTAAGTATTTGCTGATTGACTTGGAGTGAGTGAGTATGGCTTTACGCCGCTTTTAGCAATATTCCAGCAATATCACGGCGGGGGGCACCAGAAATGGACTTCACACATTGTACTCATGTGGGGAATCGAACCCGGGTCTTCAGCGTGACGAGCGGACGCTTTAACCATTAGGCTACCCCACCGTCCCTGATTGACTTGGAAAGCGTGTTTGTCTGTTACAAAAACTTAGTGGTGCCATCTGTCTGTTTGGGACGTTATACAGAAGGTCGTACCGTATAAGTCATCTATGACGTAATATTACCAATAAAGTTTATTAAGTGTCGGGATCGGGTGGTCAGGCTCGGTTGACACATGTCATTGGTTCCCAATTGCGCAGATCGATGCTCATGCTGTTAATCACTGGATTGTCTGGTCCAGACTCGATTATTTACAGACCGCCGCCATATAGCTGGAATAGTGCTGAGTGTGGCGTAAAACTAAACTCCTCACTCACTATTAAGTGTAGTAACAACGTCATATCAGTTGTTTTTGTTTCTTTTGTTGTTGTTTTTAAATCGAGATTTCATAGCGTAAAACTAAAATCAATAGTAATTACATATATAACGTGTTCTACGTTAGAATTAATTTCCATATGTACGAATGCACAAATGAAGATAACGTACTCCCCGATTCGATCTCCCCTCTGACAGCGAGAGAGTTGAAATACAAAGACTCGGGAAACAGAGTTGCCGTTCTTCTTCAAGCGCCATTTGTCACCACTCGCCTCTTTCCGTAACTCGCTATTCGGCTTGTCCCGGAATAACACGAGTTGGTCACGAATGCTTCAAGCGCGTGGCATGTTGGCCAACATTGTTGTAAACACGTGGAATATCACCTCGAATCGCCGCGGCTGAACCCGACTGGCCCTATGTCCACTATTGGGATATCATCTACCCACAGCACCTACAGTTGCCTCCGTGACTTACCTCCCAACTATAGCGATCTTTCTGCTGTCCTTGTCTGCCATTGTGGGCAATACGTGTCACTGGGTTACAGTGACCAGAAGCCGGTGTTGTGAGGAGATAAGCAGAGCCAGTCAGTTGACCTGTTTGTTGCGTGCCGTGCGGCCTTGGCTTGTCCTTATTTCGCCCACTCCTCGTTCCGCCTGCACTCTTATCAAAACAAATGTATGCACCACTGCACGTCATGCAAGTGCTGTCCTACCTCTATAATAATGAACTCAGCCTCAAGAGAATGAATTTGATCAATAAAAACAGAGACAAGTATGTACCGTTGTGACATGTGTAGGTTATTATCATAGGAATAACAATCATGTAATCCCATTCTGCCTTATAACATGTCAAAAATAAACAATAAACGAGGCTGTTCAGCATTATATATGAGTTTATAGTCTGTCGTACAGACCCTGAAGCAAATATATCCAAGAAAGCCCATGCAAGTCTAGACAGTGTGGCAAGTCTAGATTTCCACAGCTTCAGGCTGAAAATGAAGAAAGTCCCTGGGCTCCTTTTTATTCTATTCACAATTTTAATTTAAAAACTTTTATTTTCTGTAAAATATGTTCATTTCAGAGACTAGCTGTTCCTAGGCTCCTTTTTTTTGTATTTACAATTTTATTTAAAAACTTTTATTTTCTGTAAAATATGTTCATTTCAGAGACTAGCTGTTCCTGGGCTCCTTTTTATGGTATTTACAATTTTAATTTAAAAACTTTTATTTTCTGTAAAATATGTTCATTTCAGAGACTAGCTGTTACTGGGCTCCTTTTTATGGTATGTACAATTTTAATTTAAAAACTTTTATTTTCTGTAAAATATGTTCATTTCAGAGACTAGCTGTTACTGGGCTCCTTTTTATGGTATTTACAATTTTAATTTAAAAACTTTTATTTTCTGTAAAATATGTTCATTTCAAAGATTAGCTGTTAGTCTAATGAGTTTATTACATTCAACTTTTACAAAGTTCAAAACGGTGACAGGACGGGAAAGCCACATTTCAACATGACTATTGCCGGGAAGGCCACATGGCCGTAGCCGGTAAAGCAACATTTCCAATAGATTAATTAATTAATGGATTACCGTAACCGGTAAAAGAGTGTCCCCATGTATAATATTGTTTTCACAAGAAACGCAAGCGCGGTGTTTAGCTTCTTCACTCAGAGTTTATTACTCAAAATGGAACCACCTCCGGTGGTACATGAGTACACAAAATGCATGGAATGCAGAATATACAAAGTATACAAGATGGTGACAGGGAATATACGCAATGATTACTGAAAACTAGAACATATACATTTGATAAATTTAGATAGGTGTTTGATTGTTGAAATTTTAGTACTTGACATTAATTTCTTATATGTAGAGAGATAAGGGAGGAACAAGAGCTATTTTCTAGGTGAGTGATGCGTTGTTGGCTAAAATATGAACATCTAAAGATATAATGGAATTCATCCCCAGTTAACTGTTCGGATCATGTGGGTGACCTCCTTCATTTGCAACCCCGTGCAGATCCGGGGTAGAATAGGTCTTCAGCAACCCATGCTTGCCACAAAAGGCGAATATGCTTATCGTAAGAGGCGATCGAGTGGTCAGGCTTGCTGACTTGGTTGACACATGTCATCGGTTCCCAATTGCGTAGATCGATGCTCATGCTGTTGATCACTGGATTGTCTGGTCCAGACTCGATTATTTACAGACCGCCGCCATATAGCTGGAACATTGCTGAGTGCGGCGTAAACTCACTCACTCCTTCATCTGCAGTAGGTGGTGTAAAAAAGAATGTCTTGTGATCTTATGCCATTGTATCTGTTTGTACACATGTCAACTAAACCATTATCATTATTATTATGTTTTACAGATTAAGATTTATTATTATTACGTGATATTTTTATTATATGTAATATACCTATAAGTATATTATATTGTGCTAATTACAGAAACAAAACCTGTTGTGATCTGAATAAAATTATAAGGAAACATGTCTTGTTTTGTTAAATACGGTAACGTGTTTGAATCACTTAGCATGTTTTGACAGCATAGCCGGGAGAGCCACATTCCATGTTCACGCAGCCGTAACTATTGCCGGGAGAGCCACATCAATTTAGGCTATCTGTTTCGGAAATGTGGCTCTCCCGGCCTGTAACCGTTCAAAACACTGTTGACATGGGAAGATTATTTACAAAAGAGTACACTGATACAGAGTGGAAGAATATTAATCTTATGGCAAAACGATGTACACAAAGTAGTGAATTAAGATGGTTTCAATTTAAAATCATTCATAATATACTGAGTATCAATAACTTGTTATTTAAGATGGGATACGTTGAATCCCCAGCATGTTCTCTATGTAATGATTCACATGAAACCATTGTACATGTTTATATATACCTGTCAATATGCTAAAATCATATGGAGACAACTTTCAGAATGGCTTACAAAGTATGATGAAGGAAACATCGAATTCAATGAAGAGAATATATCATTTGGATTTAAGGGTATGAATAATAACCCTTTGAATGCAATTATTCTTATAACAAAATCTATGCTTTACAGATGTACTATTAAGAAAATCAAACCAAATTTCAAACCTTTACAACAAGAAATATATAGATATTATCAAACAACAAAATTCACAGCATTCTCAGACTGTAAACAAGCAAGCTTTCATGCCTTTTGGTCGTCTCTACATATGCTTTTCAGCAACCCCGTGTAATGTTTTAGATAGAGCATCTAAATGAAAACATAATCTTGTGTACATCTTTATGCACATATATATGCAAAATCATGCATTGATGTTTTGAAATGGATGGAAATGTAACCAAAAAAGTGGAAATCCGAAAACACACAAAACAATCACGTAACAAATTAACTAACAATATATTCCGAACACTGTCCACACATTGTGGCCATGATGGCGATCAGCAGTTTATTGTATCATGATCTTGTGTCTATATCTTGTAATGACACTGGTAACTGCTGACTCGTATGAATACACAATGCCATTTAGAAAGTGGTCAAATGTAACATATAATATGTTATATTTGGGATTACACTTTCTTAGTAAAGTACAGATTCTAGTACATGTACTTTTGTTGGGTTGAGTCCCATCCGGGATTCGAACCAACACGCTCAGAGTCAGGCACATATTACAACTTGAAGCAGCAAGAATTGTAACCGGACTGCCTAAATGCGCTTCAAGATATAGTATATACAGTGAAACTGGTTGGTTACCATTGAAAGTTAGACGAGCACAAAGACAACTGTGTACATTCTACAAAATTGTTAATGTGCAAGCGCCTGATTACCTGATAGATTTACTTCCACCTTTTACTGAAACCATTTCCGGATACAACTTGCATAACAAATCAGATTTGGCTATTCCTAAATTTCGCACCTCAATTCTCCAAAAGTCATTTATTTATGATTCTGCAAGTTTATTGAATGATCTCTCCTCTACAACAAAATATACAAATTCATTATCATCGTTTAAATCAAAGTGATCTGAAAAAATGACAAAAGTTCATTATTTTCTATTTGGTGAAATAAAGATAAATATACTACACACGAAGTTAAGACATTCGTGTAGTTCATTACATGCAGATCGTTTTCGTGTTAATTTATCAGTGAGTAAAGCTTGTAATTGTGGTGCTCCGGTGGAAGATTCTTTTAATAATGTCCAAAATTTGTGAGCTGCCGTTTTGATTTGAAGCAAGACTTTGAACTATCAAAAGTTCACTCAGACATACCATTCTTTACGGCAACCCTGCTCTGCCAAATACTATTAATGAAAATATCTTTAGACATGTGCATAAATGCATTGTACGAAGTAAGCGCTTCGATTAATGAATAATATGTCTTTATATTATTACGTCCATCCATTACGTCCATTCATTATTGTCCATGTTTCTGACGGGATCGGACGGTAATAAGTTACATTACTTGTGCCCAATCCCTTTCAACATTGAATAAAATATGTTCAAGCAAAACAATGGATTTAAAGACAATTTGATATCAATATCGCATTGCGCGAGAACTTGTGTTCAATTAATTAGCTACCATTCGATTGGTACTTTCGACGTAATGCCATCGATAAGTCGTTTGGACAGGAACCTGGACTAATTTTGTTCCTTCACAAAGTAAGTCTGATAGTTTGACGATTTCATCAATAAACAGTGTAGTGCTCAAATAACGTGATTCTTCAGACTTGAAAAATGTAACCTCACTGTTGTGCACATGATTTTTTAAGATGTTGAAAGAAATTCTATTAATGCCGAAATCGAAGTAAAAACTTCAAATGTGCTCAGTTCATAAGCAGTTGACGAAATTGAATATACAAGCCACATAAAGAAACTGTACATACAGAAAATATAAATAGGCACACAGCATCTGTATACGTAAATACAGTTGTAAACACTGCAAATACTGGAGACAATCAAACGCTCATGCACGTGCCAGGCGACGTGACGTCATTGATGGTGGCCCATGGACTTGCAATGTGTTACTGCACGTTGAGCTGCACACAGCATTTGAAACTCAAATTGCTGTCACTGTCGAAAGCTTAATCTTTGGTCATTCAAACGCTCACAAAAGTCACATGCACATCAAGCCAAGATTAACAGCTGCACAACGTCATGAACCCACTGGAATGGTTCGAGCAAGAATGAGCCAACAACAGATGGCAGCACATTTCCAATGCCATCGTAACACAATGTCTGCATGGTCAGGCGTTATTGAAACAGTAATGACGTCGCCGACCACCCACGTTCTGGGCGTCCTTGACGTAACAACGCCAAGACAGAACGAATGGATTCGGGTGACTCATCTCAGACACAGGTTCCAGACGGCAGTGACCACGTCCCAGACCATTCCAGGACTGCGCCGTATCCATCCCAACACTGTCAGGAATCGTTTACGTCAGTATGGGATTCGACCACGACGCCCTGCCATACGACCCATTCTGACACAACGTCATCGAGACAACCGTCAAAGATGGTGTCGAAATCATGTTCGCCAGCCTCGAATATGGTGGAGGAATGTTGTGTTTACAGATGAATCGAGGTTCAACATTTCCCATAGTGACGGGCGCCAACGTGTCTACCGGCGTTTAGGGGAACGTTATGCACGCAACTGTATCGTGGAGAGGAATCGTTTTGGAGATGGCTCTGTCATGATTTGGGGTGGGATAACAGCACGCCACAGAACCCCTCTAGTGATTGTTCAGGGCAATCTCACCGGTGTTGGCTACAAGGATCAGATTATGAAGCCTGTGGCAGTTCCTTTTCTGCAACGTCATGGACCAGGATAACATTTCAACAAGACAACGCTCGTCGCTAGGGTTGCAATGGATTTTCTCCACCAGAACAATGCCATGTTACTGCCCTGCCCCTCCACCAGAACAATGTCACAATGCCATGTTACTGCCCTGCCCCTCCACCAGAACAATGCCATGTTACTGCCCTGCCCTGCCCCTCCACCAGAACAATGCCATGTTACTGCCCTGCCCCTCCACCAGAACAATGCCATGTTACTGCCCTGCCCCTCCACCAGAACAATGCCATGTTACTGCCCTGCCCCTCCACCAGAACAATTACGTGCTGCCCTGCCCCTCCACCAGAACAATGCCATGTTACTGCCCTGCCCCTCCACCAGAACAATGCCATGTTACTGCCCTGCCCCTCCACCAGAACAATGCTATGTTACTGCCCTGTCCCTCCACCAGAACAATGCTATGTTACTGCCCTGCCCTCCACCAGAACAATGCCATGTTACTGCCCTGTCCCTCCACCAGAACAATGCCATGTTACCTGCCCTGTCCCTCCACCAGAACAATGCCATCCACTGCCATGCCCTCCACCAGAACAATGCTATGTTACTGCAATGCCTGCCCTCCCACCAGAACAATGCCATGTTACTGCCCTGCCCCTCCACCAGAACAATGCCATGTTACTGCCCTGCCCCTCCACCAGAACAATGCCATGTTACTGCCCTGCCCCTCCACCAGAACAATGCCATGTTACTGCCCTGCCCCTCCACCAGAACAATGCCATGTTACTGCCCTGGCCTGCAAATTCACTGGATCCTCACCCCAATAGAAGACGTGTGGGATGAAATGGAGCACCGTCTATGCCGTCTTCCACATCCTCCAGATAACGTTCGTGACTTGGCACGAGATTTGGAGAGAATATGACAGGCCATTCCCCAGGCCTTCCATGCTCATTTGGTAGCCTCTATGCGTCGTCGATGCACTGCTGACCCCCTACTCGATTTTGAACTTCTGACGTCATCGTTACGGATATTGTTCATGTTCTTTTTACATTTTGCTGTGGTCCGATACTTCAGCTAATAAAGTGTCAGCCTGGTTCCCTGGGTCTGTTGCGCCTGTGCTAACGCTCCGACACTGAACCAGGCTGCATTTCACCTTTGCTGTGTTGTATTCCAATTCTAAATGAATTTTCTGTGTGCACAGTTTCTCTATGTGGCTGGTATTTTTTAACCGATAAAAAATGGAAATAGCTAATCAAGATCAGAACCCCATGGAAATGAAATCAGCCACGCCGAACAGGATTCCTAGTATTGTAGATATATTCTTCCAACTGATATTAATTCCACACGCTATTAATGAGATAGACTTCTCATGGTATATGACTTTGGACAGCAGGTCCCTTTGGCTAATCATCGAACAAATTTCAACTTCACCTGACCTTCGACGACTAATTCAAATTTCCAACAGATGTCTGTTACACCGTTGAACTATATTTTTCTCATTAAATACATGAATTATTATTCATAGTGGTGACACCTTTTCCCTGGATGTCCCCGACTGGTTTGGAATAGTATATGGAGACCCGCGTTAGAATTGATCTTTAGTAACCCATGCTTGTCCTAAGAGGCGATAGACAGGATCGGGTGGTCAGGCTCGCTGACTTGGTTGACACAGGTCATCATATCCCAGTTGCGTAGATTGATGCTCATGTTGTTGATCACTGGATTGTCTGGTTCAGACTCAATTATTTACAGACCGCAGCCGTATAGCTGGAATATCGCTGAGTAAAACGAAACTCACTCACGTATATGAAGGAAGAGAAGAAGGAAAATGCAATGTTTTGTGCAAGTATAGGAATTGACAATGAATGTATGATGGTAAGTCTTCCATCATTTACTCCAGGCATATTTTATAACAGAAATAGGCCTTGACATAAGCTTGACCTTTCATAACAGAAAGATCATGGAACACAGATTTCAGAAAATGGATGACAGTCCATCAGATCATTTAAGATGTGATTACAGATGACAATATTTCAAAGTTGAAATATATTCTTCTTTGCAAAATGAAGAAAGTCTTAGGGCATGCTGGACATCCATTTCAATCCCAGTCTGTAGCTGTGTTCATAGTCTTGTTACAGACCCTGAAGCAAACATATCCAAGAGTCGAAGTCTAGAAAATGTGGCAAGTCAAGATTTTTCAGTGAAAAATGAAGAAAGTCTCAGGGTTCATGTGCTTTTTTCTGTAAAATATGTTCATTACAAAGACTAGTTGTTAGTTTACTGTGTTCACTACTGTGTTCACTGTGTTGACTCACAAATACTTTGGTTGCATATTTAGTGTTATGCCTGATACCTTGAGGCAGGGATGGCATCCTCAGAGTGAGTGAGTAAGTTTGGTTTTACACCACTTCTAGGAATATTCCAGCAAAATCACTGCTGAGGACACCCAAAATGGGCGGCACCCTCAGAGCTGGAGGAAAATACACAAAACTTCTTTAGGTATGGCAATATTTTATTTCTGTGAATATGAACATGGGTATGGATATTTCACACTAAGACAGTGCTCCTTAGATATGGGCACTTCACATCCTTGGTATAAAATACATGCATCATAACCTTAACATTCAATAGCCTGCGTGATATGTAGCAATATAAAAATACATGGGGAGGGCAAGACATTTGGGAGAATAGCTAAAGCACAAGCAAAAGTATAAATAGTTCTGTGGTTTCATAAAGATGCATTCAGATATGACCTATGTGTTCCACAATAGCATCACAAGACACTGTAGTTCAACTGACACCGACCATGGATGACATGCTTTACATCAAAGTTACAGCTGAATAACACTGCTTACTGCTGTATTAACATAGTCATCAGTAACACATTTTACTATGTTACTTTTCGTAAGAACTGAGCTTTCTGATGACATAAAACTTGTACCATTGAAGTTTACATTCAAAACCGGGTACAATAATTGGTGAGTATTTTTTAAGATGATCTAAACTGCAGTGCTTGTAATAACTGTATTTTCAGAGTGCATTCAGTGAGTACAGAATTAGTTTAATGATATTTGGCTGTCAGTAATTATCTACAATGTCTTCTGAGGAGTTGAATATGTCATAAAAGTTTATGGAAGGTCAACAACGACACAGTATAAAATTAAATCGCCCAGATCTCTGGTGCAGGTGAACTAAAAACAAATATAGTGCCAATGTTTGATGGTGCTTTGTTGTAGCAAAATAAAAATATCCCTCCTTCTCCCAGCCCTTCATTCAATTTCCAACCTGGTACACTTTGCTTGACGCACATACCCTTTCAACAATTCACAAAAAAACATAAAAACATTTGGCTAAACTACCAGCATAGAAAGACACAGACCCTGAGTATAATACAACCAACTTCTGAGATTCACAAAGACATGAAGGCAGAATAAACTCTCCATTCTACTATTGCAAGATGCAAAGTGCAAGGTTTATAAATGATATTTCACTGTTGCAGTTTCACCATCACTTAAGCTTAAGTTTCAGATACCTATACCTTTCTTATATAATGCTACCATCTTCCTTCCTTTACTATTTGAGAGACTTGGTGTATACACGTTTTCTGACCCAAACCTATGCATCATTAACAGTTTGCAAAGGAATTTGAAAGAAACTCTAATTTGTTCTCGAAAAAGCTATATTGAGCATTTGTGTTAGAGAGGATGGGTGTCTGTGTTGCAAATGAAAATAATGTATGGTACAAAAGATTTCAGCTAATTCATATTTGTATGTAAGCAATGCAATGAATAAAATGAACATTTACCCAGTAATTTGCCAAGCTCTAAGATCAAACAAATTTGAAAGAATATTCAGGTTTTGAAAGAGGTTATTCAAGAAATTGTAAAAGACACTTCAGATCTAAAAAATATGCCGTTGATTTAACTTTCTTTTGAAAGGTTTCTGAATTGCTTGAGTATTTACATAGAAAGTGGATGATGAAGTACAGTGTACTGTCCCATCTCCATCAATAATACAGCCTCACTAAGCTGAAACCATCTTTGTTACTGAGTATTATGCATATCAGATCTGCAAGCCAGGTCAACCTCATAACAAAGCAGATCATCCTTTCTGCGATACTTACAGCCTTCACTGCCGTGGACATGTGTGCATGTACTGGCATACTAGTAACCATTTTGTAAACACACACCAACATAAATTGATTGTTAATTTCGTAACGGATATACAAACAATTTTTAAAATGAGCATTTGTATAAAAAGTTTAAGTTTGTAACTTTTCAGTGCCAGCCCCCGTCGTCAACATGAAGGCACATTTTGTCACACATAATATTGTTCGTCTCAACTCCCCTAACTGGACATCCTCAAGAAGTATCCTATCTGTAACATTAATCACTCATCTAAAGCCCAAATTCCAAAGACTGAGTCCTAGAAAATTGTTAGATTGAGTAAGCTTAGATAATTATAGTCTATTAATAGAATCAAAATCTACAGAAATTGACGCTGATAACCAACTTCTGGTTACTGACTCAAATGAGTTTAGCACAGACTGAGCACCTAATAGAAACAGATTTCTACCTTGTTATTAAAACCTTTATAAAAAGCGCTAAAATATGCTTGAGAAAATAGCATCACAAACATCACCAACATGAAATGATACCAGTAAAACATGGACTAACAAATGTCACTTAGCCTGTACAGCATTAATACTGGAAAACACAACATAAACAAAGAACAGTGTACATACAAATATAGAAAAAGAATGCACTGCGTCATGTATAAACTCAGTGAATAAACTGGGTGATATGTAGCAAAGACATGATAATCTACCATATGTATGTACCATAGAAGATAACAATATTGCTATGTAAAATATAACTGTAGAAATCTATTTTCAAATGCATTAGCTCATAAATACTAAACAGCCTTGACAACAAAAGTGTTTCAAGGATTTACAATATCAACAACAAATTACCACAAGCTGCCAAGCTGATTATGCAACACAAAAACATAATCATCTGTAAGACTGCACAACTCTTTGTTCAGTGGATATACGTATTTGTAAAGACTTCCTAAGGTACTTACACAACTCCCTATGAGTTAGCATACAGCATCACACTTAGAGAAACTACAGTGTACATGTACCTTCACTTGTATCTATTGCAGTCTGTGCCTTTAGCCACAAGTCCGAAGAGCAAGTAAATTTTCTTTCACTCCAGTAAGCTGTGCTAATAAAAGCCGATACTGAAAATCAAGTCAAGTGAGAAGTGCAGATCAGCAGTTTGAACACAGACTGCAAGTGATGCATTACCTTCATCAACACAATGTACAATGTTACATTACCTTAGCAAATGTGGTGTTTCCTTGTTATATTACATTTACCATAACTACCAAACTATTGTACATTGTATACAAGTGTTGCCAACAATACAAGTTACGCTAACAACAAAATACAAGTGCTGGTGTTGTACTGATTTGAAACATCACAGACAGATCAGGTCTGACTGAAGTAAAAGGCACTTGACACTTGACACTTGTCACAATGCATGCATGAAATAGTCTTGCATCACAACCATCACATACTCTTTCACATCACAGAATAATCTGATAGAAAACTGTAATATATTCAACAACCCTATTATCATGCATGAAGACAATATAATGGAGGGAGATGGAGTTGCGATCATAGTTATGGAAGGAATATAGTTCATGTTAGTAGGCAGAGGTTTCATATGTTCAAGTAATCAGCACAAAACACTCACAAAACCTACTGCAGTTAATATCTGTTCTGGGCCTAAATTCTAAATCAAACTTCTTGATGATAGTCTCCTCTACTGCCTGCTGTTGACAGGCAGCCAGCTACTACTAGACTTTAGCCTCCTTGACCTGATGCTGTGTCTGAGTTGACCAGCTGTCAGTTTGTGCTAGACATAAGTCTTTGAGTCTTCTGATTCAACACGGTTGTTTGCTCCCCTGTGGATCAACTTTGGTTCATCAAACTCTTCGCTGAGTCGGGGGGAATACCGGCCTGACTCATCATCAGACATAACAAGAGCAACTGTTGATGCGGTGATTTCTTGGCCCTGAGCTCGCATCAGCTCGGTCTTCAACACTATCTCATTTGTCACGTACGCCTCGCGTCGGATCTGTTCTTTCAGCTCGGATGGAACGTCAGGTATCATCCATGCTACTAGACTTGTCACCACAACCACCACATTCTGCAACACACAAAGTCAAGTGAGATAGGATACCTTTTGCAGTGTTTCACAGTAGGGGTGACCTGAGGTCCATGAGGTTAGCTCCCATTAATTAATACATCATTCAAATTTTTATTTCAGGGTAGAGATTGCGATCTGGTAGAATTGGACATTCTACCAGTAGAGATTGCGATCGGAGTCTCTACCAGTAGAGATTGCGATCTGAGTCTCTACTGGGACAATCAGAGATTCTACCAGTACCATTTCCAATTCAAATGGTAGAATCTCTGATCGATCTGTGGCAAACAACAAAGATGACAACAATTGTACAAATTTATGGAGAGATGGAGAAGTGTAATAATACTTTGGGAGCAGGGCCTGACGAAGATAATTATAAATATTATATTCTAAGCAGAAGTGATATTCAGACTCAATAATGCAATGCAAAAGGGCATAATCTTTCGCTCCGTGCTCGGCCGATCTTTCGTCTTTTCTCGATTAGAAGTTGATGATTAGAGCATCGGAGCTTACAAAGTGCAATACGGTAAACTGGTACACTAATTAGCAATAAATAATCCTCACATTTGATTTCACCTTTAACAGATTTATATAACCGAAGTTTGGAATAACTTGATATACTTTTAAAGAAACACTGGTTATCAATACCAATATACCTTTCCTTAAAACTTGAAATAAAACTGTTAATACAACCTACATCTTGATTAACCCATACATAGCCGAATACCTTAGTTTTTTCTATATTTACCTTTAGCTGCCATTTATCACAATAATTACTTTACTCATCGAGCCTTTTTTGTAATCCCATAACTGTACTATACACTGCGATGTCGTCAGCAACCAATAACAGAAATAACACAGATGGTTCTTATCAAGAACCGTGGTGATTTCAAGCTCTGTCATAATGGATACATGAAAACAAAATGCTATACCAAGAAGAACTTTGTCAGATGGGACCTGAATATTAAAGATTGAAATGTATTTTACACTACTTCTTGTTCATTCACTCTTCTGTTCATTCATTCCTATATTTGAATGAAATAACAACAAAAAAACAGGAAGGTGGGGAAATGACCGGCCAGATATATATTTGGGTTAGAGTTATATTTATTTACAATAACAATCATAAATGAAAACAGAGTAACAATGTTTTATTTTCATTTTGTTTGTAAACATCAAGTTGGACAAACAGTGTGCACTTTTCAATGGAAGATGTCATTCGACAATATACGAAAATAAATTTTGTTTTTCAAAATATTCACTTAGATTGCAATCTCTACTAGTAGGATCAGATTTGAGCTTCTACTGGTAGAGATTACGATTGTATAGGTTATTCTATATAATCAGAGTCTCTACTGGTAGAGACTCCGATTGCAATCTCTACTTGTAGGATTGGAGATTCCACCAGTAGAGACTCCGATTGCAATCTCTACTGGAAGAGACTCCGATAGCAATCTCTACTGGAAAAGACTCCGATCCTACCAGATCGTAATCTCTACCCTGACATTTACATTAGGCTACAACATCAACACTCTTCAGTGTTCATGTTTTATTTCAAACACTGCATTCAGCAAATCATATACGTCACAGTGAACTTAACCAAATCAATGCCATCGACTTTCCAGGCCAATACTCTTTGTACTTACCTCAAAGACGACCACAAATGCTAACTGTGCAGCAAGAATATGCCAGAACACTTCTGACCGGCGATACTCTCTGTCATAGTGCCAAGGTGGGTTACGGAAATCTTTGTATCTGAAAACAATGAGTAATACTTTATTCAAAATAACTTAAATATAGAAGGATATTAATATAATTTTTGTTGTACCATGATTACATTTACTTCTCAACAATATCATTTCAATTCTGAATATAAATTCAGCCATTTTCCAGAACATTCTAGCTATGAGGTTTATAAATATTAATGACCCATGAAGATCTGGGTTAGAATTGATCTTTAGTAACATATGCTTGTCATAAGAGGTGACTAACGGGATTGGGTGGTCAGGCTCACTGACTTGGTTCGACACATGCCATCATATCCCAATTGAGTAGATTGATGCTCATGCTGATGATCACTGGATTGTCTCGATTATTTACAGACCTCCGCCATATAGTTGGAATATTGCTGAGTGCGGAGTAAAACTGAACTCGCTCACCCACTATAAATATTAATCATTTGTCTTGATTCTAATTTGAACAAACTGGGTAGAAACCACTTACCTGCAGATTGCTTCGTTACCAATAATGCTGTCAGATGGTCGGTGGTCCTCCTCAAAGTCACTGGTGTTGAAATATGCTAGGGTGTAGTTGACGTAACCTTTGAGGCTTCCATCATCACTGTAGAGCAAACTGTAGACCAGCCGAGGGATGAAGTCAGACGTGAGTGAGATCACAAATGCCTGGCAAACAGAACAAGGAACAGTCAATGAATCTGGGTCCCCATCCACAAAGCGTTGGTAACCTTACAACCTAGCCTAACTCTATACTTTATTACACGATTACCAATTGTATAGTGCTAAGAACATTTTGTGGATAGGGTCCATGGTGTCACAAACTCAGATGGAAATTAACACATGGTCCACCTTGTATGGCAATAACATCCCATTATGGAAAAAAGTACACATACCTAAAAATAAACAAGTAAAATGAATTATGTTAGTGTACAAATTGGTTTATGCTATGCTAGAAATGTAATAATTAGATTTCCTTTGGGATACAATGTTTGTGTACTTTCAAATTCTTTGCATCCACGAGAGGATCATGATAAGACAAAAATGTCAGGAGCCAGGTTTCCCTTTGAATACAATATTTGTGTACCCTGTAATTTTGTAAACCCTGTATTAGTACAAGAAGACTTACATTGGTGATGATAGCAATCCTGGAGAGACCATAAAGGACACTGTACCAAATACCTGCAACACACATAATTAGGATGGTTACAAACAGCCACAGACAGCTGGTTCGATCATGCAATAAACTACAGTAAACCATCATTTTAATGAATATGCTTATAATGAAGTGACAAACACAAAGTGCTTTTTTCTGATACTTGCCACTTGCTGTAAATTGTAGTTGAAATGTGTATACATAATGAACAAACTAAAAGTAGTGGTCCCTTTGAGTTAACCATACCAGCTGTTTACAGTGATGTGGAAAATCCATGGAAAATTTTCAGGAACAGGCAGATACATTTTTATTGTTTCTTCTGAATAAGCTTTGTCAACAAGTTTGAAATGCTGATACCTGGATTAAGGTGAGTAATCCCAGTCTGTGCATTATTCAACAACTGACCTTCTTTTCTGTTAATTAACAAGAATTATCTTACCAATATTGGCAGCACGATCTGCCACTGGTCTGCGAAGTTGTGTTATAAACTTGGCTGCATCACAGCGGATCTCAATGATGTTATTAAGCAGACAGAAAATAGGAGCGAGTGGAAAGGCAGCACAAAATAATGTCAGGAACCCAAATTGTAAAGCTGAAAGGAAAAGGAATACAGTCATCAAAAAGCCTTCATTATTGTAGTAGACAGCATGTAACTGTCCTGGGCCTCCTTTCACAAAGCACTAAGGTGATCGTAAGTCACTAAGGTAGCCTTAGTGCAATGTTAAAGAATGGGAGTTAGGTTAACCTTAGTAAAGGTTGCCTCGTGAAAGGAGCCCCTGGACGGTTTTTGATAACAGGCAACGATTACTATTTGTAACTTGATTTAAAAGTTGTCAAAGAGCTAACAACCTCCATCATCATTATGTATTTCATATCATCACAAAAATATTCTTTACAAGTATTAGAACTGTTCATAACAATGTCTGTACAAAAATTTTTCCAAAACTTTAGTGATATTGAGCATAAAGTATCAATGTCGACAGTATACATGACATCCTGCTGAGATTATGTAAACATCTCCATACAATAGGCCCCCAGGTACCTGAGCCATACACAGGCAAATTTACTGCACATTAAAATACATTTTTCAGCTCAAACAAAGTTTACATGATAAGTATTATTTCATTACCTGGATCACATAGTCAAGGAAGGTAAATAGTTTTCAATAATTTGCTTAAATGTTATATGAAATATAATCATGTTCACTGCCTCAAGTTTTGTTTACCGGTAGTCAAATTTCTTTTGGCTTTTGACTCTCACATTAGCCAGATTAGTTCAAACTGACTTCAGATGCAACTTACCCATCTCCAAGTACTCATAGAACAAAACTGTGGTCTGTGCAGCTGTCATCTTATAGTCTTTCTCCCAAGGAGTCTTTGCAAGTTTCTGCTCTCGAGTCTCCTTTGCACATTTCTTTTTGATGAACTTGATAAGTTTCCTGCAACCACATGCAGCATCATAACAAACTCTACTGTACTAATGTTCACCTCATAGCATTCATTTTCTCAAAATAAAATAAGGAGTACTTACGGCAGCACTATCTCCACAAAGTTGTTCTGTATCAGCTGTTTCCCAATCATGATGATTGCTAACTGAATACATAGCTCTATTAAACAGCCTCCGGCCTCACACTGAAATATACAAGTTTGTCATAGTGAGTGAGTAAGTGAGTGAGTGAGTGAGTTTACTTTTACGCCGCACTCAGAAATATTCCAGATATATGGCGGCAGTTTGTAAATAATTGAGTATGGACCAGACAATCCAGTGATCAACAGCATGGGTATCGATCTGCGCAATTGGGAACCATGTCATTTCCAAAACATTCTGAGTGATATTGAGCATAAAAGTATCAATGCTCGACAGTATACATGACATCCTGCTGAGATTATGCAAACATCTCCATACAATAGGGCCCCCAGGTACCTGAGCCATACACAGGCAAATTTACTGTACTGCACATTAAAAATACATTTTTCAGCTCAAACAAAGTTTACATCATAAGTATTATTTCATTACCTGGATCACATAGTCAAGGAAGGTAAATAGTTCTCAATAATTTGCTTAAATGGTATATGAAATATAATCATGTTCACTGCCCTCAAGTTTTGTCTACCGGTAGTCAAATTTCTCTTTGGCTTTGACTCTCACATCAGTCTCGATTAGTTCGAACTGACTTCAGATGCAACTTTACCCATCTCCAAGTACTCATAGAACAAAAACTGTGGTCTGTGCAGCTGTCATCTTATAGTCTTTCTCCTGCTGCTCTTTGCTAGTTTCTGCTCTCTAGTCTCCTTTGCACATTTCTTTTTGATGAACTTGATAAGTTTCCTGCAACCACAAGCAGCATACCATAACAATCTCTCTCTACTGTACTAATGTTCACCTCTACAGAGCAATCACTATTTTTTTCTCAAAATAAAATGAAGAGTACTTACTGCAGCACTATCTCCATTAAAAGTTGTTCTTGTATCAGCTGTTTCCCAATCATGATGATTGCTAACTGAATACATAGCTCTATTAAACAGCCTCCGGCCTCACACTGAAATATACAAGTTTGTCATAGTGAGTGATTGAGTGAGTGAGTGAGTGAGTTTAGCTTTAAGCCGCACTCAGCAATATTCCAGCTATATGGCGGCAGTCTGTATATAATCGAGTATGGACCAGACAATCCAGTGATCAACAGCATGGGTATCGATCTGCGCAATTGGGAACTGATGACGTGTCAACCAAGTCAGCGAGCCTGACCACCCGATGCCGTTAGTCGCCTCTTAAGGCAAACATGTGTTACTGAAGATCAATATTCTAACCCTGACCTTCACGGGTCTGGTCATAGTTCAAAACAATGCAAATGCTGCAAAATAGAATAATTTCAAGGCTTCTTAGTCACACTGAAGGCAAGCTGGAGATCAGTGAGACTATATGAATTATGTGGAACTTGCAACAGCATGTATAACAAAAGTTACCTCAGACGTAACGAAATGCACTGAAAATTCTCATCCCTGTACATAAAGCAACAATCTCTTCCAACAGGAATGACAACCACATCTGTTCTCACCTCTTCCTGACGTCCTCCAAACACAGTCCTGTACTTCCCAGGGCGTCCAACAAACCTGCGAACACAGATGACATGTCAGGACACAGTTTGATGTCTGCTGAGGCAATTCCATCCTCGAAACCTCCAGGATATGCATTTTGTTATAACTACCCTAAGTACCTGGATCCATTCCTGTGGTTGTCACAATCACAAATTACCGCCCTTGATTTTCATTTGCAAATTTGATTGGCTGCGCTGCTTGATCCAATGAATAAGGTTCAGAATGAGAGTCTCACTGTAACACTGTTTGGTTGGCAATATACACACCATGGCGACCTGTCAAATTGCTTATAATCAAGTTACGGGAAAGTAAACTAAAAAATTGAAAAACTGCCTAACATCGAAAAAGTAAACAGTCAAAACTTATTTTGATGGAAGGGATGTCTTAATGTCCATTAAATCTGGCTGTGACTTTGGTTTCTATGCAATAAAAACTTCCTCTTCCTACTCTATCTCTTCCCCATCTCATGAGTATTTGTGTGAAGAGTTTACAGTGAACTAAATCTGTACATCACACATTAGTTCTGTTGGTTCAACCCTCCATTTCAAAAATCATTTTCAGATAACCATGATATTACAAAAAGCAAACAAGGACTCACTGCTGCCAGTGGTTAGAATGTCATGAATATTCACATTCTAAAATGGAATTTCTGTCTTCTTAACATGTTTACTCACATAATCTAAGAAACGGTAAGTCAATGCCTTTGAGGTGAAACAGTAGCAGTGCCTATTATTGGTCTTTTCAATATTCATGTGGAGCTTGGTATAGATGTATCAGTATTATTCATGTGGGATAAATATGAAATACCACATGCTTAAAGTAATCCATTCTTTTACAACAATTTCACACTGATTCACCTGTTTCAATAAACGGAGTAAACGATGACTCGTTAAGTATTCTGTATTTGTTACATTACAAGGATGTACTCACCTGCCCTTGAAAAATGCAATATACATGATGGAAGAAAAGTAGTTGACGAACTGCAGCGCAAACAATTTGAGAGTAATGCTGCTGTCATACTCGCTCTGTGTGCGCAAGCACTCCCAGTCTGTCAGCCAGAAAGCCAGGTACCCATACACCTGTACACAAACAATTATTGGAATGAATTTACCTGAGGTACCTGCGAAATGCTATCACACAAACATTACAAACTATTGTCAGTTAACTCAACTATCGTTGCCAAAACAGGTTCTAGATCAGACATTTGGGACTGGTACTTACAAAGTTCAGCAGTAGAATGATAGCCAGGTTGATCAAGGCAGCTGTCACTGTTGTCAAAAGACTGGCATTCTGGTAAATTAGATTCACAGTTTTGGTGGTGACGTCACTGCTGTTAGTGAATATTTCCTGTTTCCTGATCAGTTGTAATGCAGCCAACATAGACACCCTGTAAGCTATCACTCCAATCACTGCACCTACTGCCATGAGAGCCTGAAAACCAATGAACAAAAGTAAAGGCGTAAGGCTGTCTGCCAATGTCAAGTCTCTAGTTATTTCAAATGGAAATGAATATTCTCTTCATTAATAATGTTCATTGTTAATGACCTTGCATTGGTCTGTCTTTTGATATGGTCTGAAAAACTGTTGAAGGACCATTTGTTTGTTTTGGGTTTGTTTTTCTGTTTAACTTCTAACACTCAGCAATATTCCTGCCATATGGCAAGGTCTGTAAATAATCAGGATCAGACGATAATCATGCATTGATCACGCAATTGGGATAAGATAACATGTGTCAACTCAGCGAGCCTGACCACTTGATCCCGTTACGCACTTCTTATAACAAGCATGGGTTGCTGAAGACCAATTCTAGACTGGATTGTCACAGGTCAAATGTTGAAGGAGAGAAGACTCACAAGTGCACTAAAAGGAAACATCCATTTCAAATTACAGAACTTACCAGTACTATCATGACTGTATAGGAGCACAGAAAAATTGGGAAACGTCGCCTCCAGAATGGGAGGTGGGGTTCTTTGATCTGAAACAGAAGCAAAGCAAGATAATGAGTGAACAACTTACAAAACATGTACGAGGCAGTAGTAAGATGAAGTGCAGCGAGGCTGTATTTCCCATTTAAAATTATTGTCCTTTCATTGTCAGTGAGTGAGTGAGTGAGTGAGTGAGTGAGTGAGTTTAGTTTTACGCCACTTTTAGCAGTATTCTAGCCACATCACGTCAGGGGGACACCAGAAAAGGGTTTCACACATTGTACCCATGTGGGGAATCGAACCCAGGTCTTCAGTGTAACGAGCGAACGCTAACCACTAGTCTAACCTACTGCTCTTTCATGTCGCAGTTTAAAATGGAATCCCAACTCAGGTATATTCTTTTATAAGACGAGGGTAATAATATTCAATGCCCTGGACAGACTATCCACTAGACCAACAAAACAGTTGAAATGATGCCGTGAGCATAAGTGCCATCAACTCAGTCTTAAGACATATGAATGTAGTGTGATAAGCATAGCTATAAGTGTGTCACTGTTTGTAGGTCACAGAGTATGATGTTTGAGCACCAATCCAATAACTCTCCATGCTCCGTATAAAATGTAACCATTTTCACGTTCTTTTTCTCACAATGATAGAATACTTGGGACATTGCAGTGAACATTTCAATTTGAGCAAAATACCCCTGACAAAGAATACAAACCTTGAATAAAATCTATTTTTTGTGTCACTCAGACAGATACTCACCCCTGTAACAGGGTTGATTTTCAGTGTGTGCCAACCCTCCAACTGGGACAAGTACTCAGGCCTTGGAGGTTCCTGTAAAACAATGCTTTATGTTCATGACAAATACCTTTTCCAGTACAATTCAGATAAGGGGCATCTTTCAGCTACTAAACATGAGGTAACAAATATTTTGATAGATAGAAATGAAAATATACTAATCTGTTAACATACCTCTTCAGAAACGAAGTTCGTAAGGTCCCACTTATACTGGATCGTAGCCTCTCGACGTTTCCAAAACTCAAGAAACAGAGTACCTGCAAATAATATGAAAAGTTATATCACATTTTTTTCTGAAGCAATAATGCAACAAAGTCAAAATCATGGATGTTGGGGACCAGGCAAGAGAAAGATATATTGTTATCTGATTGTTTGAAGTTATCTCTTTGACACGAATGAGAAAGTGAGTTGTGTCCAATGTTGCTTTGTACAGTTGTATCTGTCTGTTTTAGTTCTGGAGCGGAAGGCTCATATTGATGCAGGTAATACAAAGACTACCGATGGAAGAGGCTACAAGCTTTGTTTTAAAGCTGACAGAACTGGGATCATTAAATATCTGTGATTCAAACCACTACCAGCTGATCCTGGTTCTGTTAAGGGACATTACCCAAATCTTGCAAACCCTTAACATCAGACAAATCTGTGGTAAGATGATCATGAATACTTACTAAAAGTAGAATGGAACATGTACACATACTATTGTGAAGATTTCATGAATACACTCAAAAACTGTTTTGACGTAAATTCTTTTCCTGAAACCAACCATGAAAACCTGATGCTGAAGGTGGATGATAAGTCCAGTACATCTATAGAACATCATACTAGTGCATCTGGATGTTTTGTATTGAACTCGAAGATGTCATGGGAGCAGAGAAATTTGTTCGAAGATTGAGTTGTTTCTCAGCTCCCATGACATCTTCGAATTCAATACAAAACATCCAAATGCACTAGTATGACATTCTATATTTATTATATACCCTCTTATCTTGCATTAATCTGTTACTTAATAAAACAACCCATAGTGTAGCAGTAGGGGTTCAATACGGAATCTGGGGTGCAATACAGAATTTGACGTCATTCGTATTGCACCCCTGTATTACTACTAAGTTTTCATTGGTATATAATAAATGGCCATAAACTGAATGGTAGACTCACCCCACAGTGACATAAAGATGGCAAAGAAGACTGTAGCACCATTGTCAAATATCCTGCTGACAGATACATGAGTACATGCCTCATTTAGTTTCCAGTAGGGACACTGCTGGTCACACAAGGGACACATGGTGATGTTGTTGTTGGGATCACACAGCTCAGCCCTGTAGGGAAACAAACACCAGCATATGCTTATATTGGAGACATACTACTGATGTAATAATTCATTCAATAAAATGTTCTGATGTGCATTGTTTGAATAACAATTTCTGTGTCTTCTATGATATGATATGAAGTGTAGGCATGATAGTCATCAAGCTTGATACCCTCAGAAAGTGAGAGATCCATGAGGGAGTGGAAGCTGTTTATTCAGCACCCAGCAACATTCTAGCAGCATCTCATCAAGCAAGGAGAGACACCTTATCAGCATATCTATACTCCTGTGACACAGAATATTCACTCTTACCATTACTCAAAGTCCTGACTATCACCCTTTTATTAGATTATATAAATAGTATGTTTTGACAGGACCAACTTACGTGACGTCATTTGTGTACATGATAACACAGCCATAGATGAACACAATCAGACCAACTATCGAGGCAGGAACCAGCATTGTTGTGTAGAAACCAAGCCAGGCAAAGTATATGGCAATCTTCTCACCAAAATAATTTCTGAAATACAAAAATATCCACAAGATCAAATGTGTGATTGCATGGACATCATTGCTATAATTAGGGACACAAAATACAATCAAAATAGGGAATGGAGTGAGTGAGTGAGTGTGGTTTAACACTGTTTTTAGGGCATTCCAGTCATATCATGTTGTGTGAGCTTAATGTGGGAGGAATGTCGGAAATGAAGTATTTACACCTTTACCACTTTGATTAAAGTCATAAGTATGGGGATGGTGCTGACAAACCTAGAAACATGATAAAGTTGAACCATATTCAAACTGAGATTCAGGTTTCTGATGCGTTAAAGGGACATGAGTCTTTACAACAAATTGCAGCATCTTAGACTGGGACACTAAGTAAGGGACTAAGAGTTAAAAAGCAAAAGGTCCTCGTAATAATCCTGACATTTAAAAAACACAAGGAGAGTAATATATACCAGCAACGAACGCACACACGCACGCACACACACACACTTAATGTAGCACACTGCTGATATAGTTCTGCTGTGTTTGGAATGGAACAACCTGATGTAGCTGTGAATGCGTACCTGATGTAGTCATGTGGTTGAAACTTGAGGAAGCTCCTCCATCCTGCCCAGTAGTCGTAGAGCAGTTTGCGTGGGTTCTTGGCAGACCCCGGCTTCCAGTGACCCTGAAATGACGTACATCACCTTGTGTCTCAGATATTGCTGGATCTTATAGTACAATATTCATGGCTAATGTGAATCAGTAATATTCATATAACATGTCATTGTATCCCAGTTGCGTAGATGAATGCTCTTGCTGTTGATCACTGGATTGTCTGACCCAGACTTGATTATTTACAGACCAACGCCATATAGCTGGAATATTGCTGAGTGCAGCATTAAACAACAAGCTAAACAACCAATATTCAAATCATATTATTCCATGGCATGTGTCAAGAATAATAGATGCACTATTGGGCATCAGAAAAATTTATGAATCCTTTTTCAAACCAGAAAATATGTGATTTACTGCATGTTTGCCAGGTCTACCTTAAGGGCCACTATCTTAATGTACCAAGCAGCCATTGTGGTCATAGGATCATATGGTGCACTCACTTATAAGTACACAAATGTTCAGCATAACTTTACATCCTTACTGGGGTCATACTGGTGACCTCAGCATGTACTCACCTCATGCATGGGGTAAGCAGCATCATAGAATCCATCAGCCATCATCTTCTTCAGACCTGCAAAGGATTACAAACATTTTACTTGTATCAAGTACCTTTATTCATAATAAACTAGGTTTGGGATTTGGCATAGAAAGAGTCTTGATCATTGGTTATAACTTACCAAATGAAAATGCTTTTCCCTCATCTTTCTTGAAGGCTTTCCTTCTCAAAATGTAATCCACGATCCAGCTTCTCACAGAATTTGTAAATTTAAGCTGTTTATTGTCATCCATCTCAAACCTGCCAAAACAAAACATGTCATCAGGTGAGCTTAACTGACATCAATGCTCCTTCTGAATTCTTGAAATCTGTGTAAACACTATAACTATGGATGCAATAAGGTTTATCAGTACTTAAACTGTGCAATGCAAAATACATACTGGCAAACAAGGATAAGTTGAGCACCAACCTGACAATTGACCCGTATTAGCATGAATGAGTGCCAACCACTGGCGCTTGCCATTGCTAGCGAAGGGGCCCCAGGTCGTCCACGATCAAGTGTAGTGTGGCTTGCTACACCGACGTGAGTCTTATGAGCAAGGCGTGTTCAGCTACGCGAGGAATCAATTTCATCGTCATGCAATGCACGTGCACTACATCTGCTCTATCTTTCACAAACCAAATGGGTTTGCTCATTGCCGTGCACCGCCTATTTCTTGTAAACGCATTCTCTGCGCCGGTCCAACTTATTTTGTTTGCCAGTAGGTCTCTTGATATCCAATAAGAAATTTCAAATCACAATATCTTGTGTTTTGTTCAAACAACTGCATTGCTAAAAGATGACTTTCACTTTATTTTATCTCAAACAGCCAATATCTTTGTTTGCTAGACTCTAAAACATCATGATCAATCCTGTCATGGTAAATCTGAATTACAAATATGTATTTTCACATTGAGAAATTTTATCATTTACAATAAACCTAAAGATCAAACATTACAAAGTCCGTTGTTACATTCAGTTTCAAATGTAATCTCAGGACAAAACATACAGTACCTAAAACCTCAGACCAAAGCAGGTTCATCAAAAAGGTGACGTTAGTTGTTAAACGGAAAACTGTGTATTACAAAGAGTTATCAGACAACGAAACAACATCCTGAAGATCAATGACAGATACGACAAATCACAATGTGGTATGTACACTTACAAATATTTCTTGTTCCGACTGTAGGGGCAGGTGTAGCGTCTCCTTACAGGGGGCATGACATTTGGGTCTATTTGGAACGGGGAGAGGAAGCGCTTGAAGAAGCCAGTGACCGAGCTCCATATTCTCGTTGACACAGCCTGCACGGGACTCTAGAATACATTAGACACAGGCATGTTAATAATGAAGATGTATTTGGAACAACAGTTAAAACTTTTTCATAATGAGAAATTCACTGATATTGAAATTATTGTTATTTTACTTGTCCAATTTCACAAATGTCTAGAAAACTCTGAAGAAGATATCAGTGATATCATGACAGTATTGTTTATGAAGAAACCACATCTATAAACATCGAAGCAGCAAAACTGTCAAACGCTAAATGGTAGAGAACTAGAGAAGCTTCTACATGCTATGGGAGAAATCTCCAGTAATCACGATGCAAACCAACATAACTGTATTACTCTAGAGGAGAAATACATAGCAGAGTGTTAATGTCACTTTTTTGGGTTAATTCAAGTCTCTTGGATGGGATGCTGCTAGGTGATGGATGATTGATGATAGACCAGGTTGGGGGGACCATAAGTTGACAAGCACACAGGCAGGTCAACATGCAGGTTCCTTAATTACCAAAACCCACACAGATATACAGTTAGACAGACAGAGTTAGGAAGACAGACAGACAGACATGCATTCAGGTCACCAAACACAAATAGCGTGAAAAGACCAGGAATTGACATCATTGATCACCATCACCATTGTGATATTGGACTGAAAGGAAATCTGACAGATATGTCAATTTAATGTGGTTTACAATTCTGGGTCTTGAATAATTCTTGTTGAATACATGAGACTATGTCGTCACATCATTTGGTGGACAGTTTGTAGCTGACGGCAACTATGAAATAGGGAATGTTCTAAATGTTTGGCTGGGGCAATCAGTTTCTTTGTCTGGTTCATTAAACTAAGATCACAACATATCTGCATCCCTGATTATCAAGTTTATTATGTCTCCTTTTAAGTATGATAAATACAGTCAACCAGTTCATTATCAAAATTATGTTCAGAGCCTGATTCAAAGCAACATTTTTAGAAATATTTGTCCATGCATGAGAAAGATTAAGACAAAGCTTCTCAAGCAATGTTAGTGGATGGGTCAACAATATTTAACATTTGCTGGAGATAAAATACACAAGATTATCAAGGATTCATATTTATCAGATTGACAGGCATGCCCCTATGTTGATTTGTATTATCGCTGGTGTAGCTGGTGCATGCTGTAATGTTGACAACACTGCTGGTGTAGTTCGTGCATGTCCCAATGTTGATACCACTATTAATGTTAGAGCATGACCCAGTGTTGAAATCACTGCTAGTGTATGTTGCATCTCTAAGTGGCATTTAGAAGCTGGTATGATGAGGGGGAACAATTTTTATGGATATACATTTACTTTTGTCACTAAGGTGACATCTACATTAGGGAAAGGTGTTCATATAAGGTTATAGCTTGTTCACCGATCCCTATTCAATTGTAGTTGAATATAAATATGTTTAAACCACATCTATGTTTAGGTGTAGATGCTAACAACTGTTATCAAGTTCATGGTGAAATCATTGCTTGTGTTATCAGCAGGTGTTCTAATGTTCATGTCAATGCATATGTCGTTAATTCATATCCCCACGTAAGTATCTTTGATGGTATTAGTGTTATTTTCTTTCACTTGTACCACTGTAAGTACAACATTGTCTTTTAAGCATGCATCACATTCATTATTCATAATATTAGTGGTATTACAATGATATCAAACATCAAATACCACAGACATTTCCTTCAAAATTTCTATTACAATACAAATGCAGCCAGGTTTTCATCTTTATTTTAATTGGCAAATAGGGAAAATTCAACTTCAACCTTATTCCTACTTCTTTATTGAATTTACTAAAAAAATGAGGTAAATTTAATTACCTCTTAAGATAATTTTCAATGAACAAACAATATAATTCCACAGATTTACAAAAGATATGCATTACTGGAAAGAAGTGCAGGCAATATCAATAATGCAAAAAGAATAGTGGCATTCAATAGAAAAAAGAATTGAGAAGTTGTACTTTTTAGTTTGTTGGTTTAAATTGTATCAATGAATGGCTCATCTTTTTCTATAAAACAGTCACTTCAGTAACACCCATGCATACACTGTAACAATCATTTTGTTTACGGACACGTTTATTACTGACTGAGTTTAGTTTTACGCCGCTTTTAGCAATATTCCAGCAATATCACGGTGGGGGACACAGAAATGGGCTTACAAGGCTATGGGAATCGAACCGGGTCTTCGGCGTGACGAGCCAACGCTTTAACCACTAGGCTACCCCACCGACCCCAGACACGTTTATTAAGTTATAAGGCTATGGGTATCATTGTGATGAATAAGTCATCTAGATATGATCATTAAGATTTAGATGAGTTTCCGATTAGTTGTTACAGTGTTGTTTGACACAGTAGTTGTGTCCCATCGTAGCCTCAAACAGGGCTATAGTGCTGTGAGAGTGGAATCGTGGGACAATGTGGGAAGTATTACAATGACACGGGCAACACTAGTTAGGGAACAGGGAATACGTCTCACTTTATTCATAACGCTGTAAACCTGAAAGGGACAAATATGTTCATGTAAACCAGAGCTAGATATGACAGTAAGAGTTGGAGCAGAATCCATTTACCAAAACACATAAAAAATAATAGATTTCTGAGTAAGGGGTGAAAAAAAGGAAGACATAGCTATTTAAAAATGTTTCCTAGCTCAAAATAAATTCCTTGTTGATATATGCAGTTTAGAGGAAAACGGTTTAATCCAATGTATCTACTCTTCACCGTGTGTCCTGCATGAACATTTACTGTTAATATCCTTACCTTTACCATCAACCACAGCATCATAATGTGTTAAAAAAAATATGAAAACATACCTCAAGAACACCATAGCAACACCGCACATGTTCCATCTACTGCATAAGCTAACATATATGATACACATATTTACTCCTCCAAAGAATTTACAAAACACCCAGTTCTTTTCATATGATCATATAATCCACCATATCATATTAACTATAGCCACATGATAATAACTTGGTGTTTTTTTAACTTCTTTGGAGTAGTCTATATCTGGGTTAGACAGGGACACTTGTATACCAATCCCAGAGTAATGACAATCTGGCAAGGCTTTTTTTTCATAATCAGTTAACTCCGAAACCGGTGTGTGCAATATACATAATAAATATGTAATTTTTAGAGTAAAATTGATATTTTATACTTATCCTGACTCATGCTCTTTTGCTTGTCTTCTTCTTCTTGCGAACATAGTGGAACACTTGTATCTCCTTATTTGAAGCTCCCTTCAAAATAAAATCACTAATTGGTACTCACCACGAGTTGCTCCCCTTTGTCTCCCCTGGCGGGAAAAGGTGTCGCCACCCTCTGGCCATGTGCTCCACTCTCTCCTGATTTAGCTTGAGCCCAACACTTGAATTTACAGGAAATCCAAAGTGTTATGTGGGGAGGATGGGAGGAGCTAACCTCATGAGTCAGGATAAGTATAAAATATCAATTTTACTCTAAAAATTACATATTTTTTCCTTATCCTGACTCATGCTCTTTTTGCTTGTAGCATCCTACGGAACGGAGGTGGGTAACAGAATACTTTGGATTTATAATTAGTGATTTTGTATAGATATACTGTAATATCCCCCCACGGGAACTTCATGAAGCCTTAGATTTGGGATGTTTCCTGTATAAAAAAACCATAGGTTATATAAAGCCATTAAAGGGGAATTACATTATGAATATATTGAACAATACATATAAATTATATATATATATATATAGGTGACTCTGATAGAGGCACTGAAATTGACTATATCCAAGTATATGCTTAAGGTAGAATACTTAAGCTGAACATATATACATAGCCCTAAAACTCCTTAGAGTTATAAGCTAGATGAGTATGTATAAAATACATATTAATCTTGTGAGGCTAATATTTTTAAGCCCTCACGAGGGACTGTCAGTTGCTGGCGAGGACCAGTGGTCGAAATGGTGAATGCCAGAGACATCTTCTGTAGTGATGTCTCTTAGGTAGTGATTAGCAAATACCATGTTAGATTTCCAATAGCATCCTTCCATAATCGCGTGTTCAAGGAACAGTTACGTGTAGTAGGCGAGGGTAGAGGCCAGTGCCCTGATCTCATGTGGATTTGATGCTGTTGGTGGGTCCAAGCCTGCTGCCTTGTAGGCACGGAGAATGACAGTCCTTATCCAAATAGATATTGTGGTCCGTGACACTTCTGTTTGATTAAGTGGCGATAATGGGATGAATAAGCGTTTGAGAAATCTTCTCCTTGTTTTGGATGCGTCAGTAAAATAAACTTTGGCTCTTACCGGACACAGTGATAGGTCTTGTGTATCTTGTGATCGAGAATAGAGGATAAGCGCCCGGGATGTGGAATAATCTGTCTGGTTGACCTGGCAGTTGATTCTTTGCAATGAAATCCCATCTTAATCCGAGGTGCTGTGTTATGATTGTCATCAAACTGTATCCTCGTAATCCAGAAGCGTGAATTTCAGACATTCTTGCTGCTGTGGCTAGCGATAGCAGAAACAATGTTTTCTGTGAGAGAAATTCAAAGTTTGTCGATTCCAAGGGTTCATAGACCTCACTTTCGTGAGGTGTTGTAACACTACATTCAGATCCCAAGCTGGGCGTGGAACTTCAGCTTTGGTCCTCAATCGAAAGCTTCGTGAGTAAGGCCAGTAACTCTGGAGATCTTGTCAATTTGACACCCGTTCTCATGGTGATTACAGAGCTAAAGCTGCCGCAAGATATGTTGATATCGTTGAACCCTTTAAATGTTTGTTTTGGCGTAGGTAACACAAATAGTCTGCCACTTGAGGTTGTGAAGCCTCTCTTGCTGTAAACCCTTTCTTTGTTGCATAATTTTCGAAACTGTGCCACTTGTCGTCGTACAAGTTACGAGTTGAGTAGCGTAAGGCAAGCGTGACTGCTTTTGCCGCCCTGGCAGAATATCCTCTCTTGTTTAAACACATTTGTATACAGTCCATACGTGTAGTTGGAACATTGCTGGGTTTCCGTGCACTTGTTTGGTGTGAGGATGAATTAACAGGTTTCGCGGCGCTTGGGTAGCTCCAGTGTTGGTTGACCGATTTCTTGAATTAGTATGGGAAACCACGTTCTGGTCGGCCAGTAGAGGCGACCAAAGTGAGTTGGTAGGCTCTGTGTTTGTCTGATTTTCTGTAATACTTGAGGTATTATTGCTGGCGGCGGAAACGGCGTGCGCATTGAGGCCTTCCCATGATAGACTTAAACGTCCGTTGCCCAAGCTTGGGGGTCTGGGACTGGTGACCACGAATGTCGGTAGCTGATTGTTGAAACGCGGCGTGGTGAATAGGTCTATTAGCGGCTCCTAATTGCTTGATTATCTGTGCAAAAATTTCGGTTGATCATCCACTCTGTCGGTGATGGTAGATGAGGCCGAGAGCGTCTGCTAGTATATTTCTGGCTCCGGAATGTGCACTGCTCTGACATGTAGATTTAGATCTTGTATTAAATCGAACAGTTGAAAGCTTAGGTTCAAAAGGTTCATCGATCGTTGAGCCTTGCTTGTTTATGTAGAACGCCACTGTCGGTGTCTGTATGGATCATTAGGGGCATTTTGTAGAAATGTGCTCCAATGTAGAATGGCGTTGATTACAGCTTTCATTTCTAGACTGTTTATATGGAGTTTGCATTCTTGCTGATTCCATAACCCTGATATCGTGGTTGGTGAGATGAGCTCCCCAACCTTGGAGTGACGCGATCTACATACAGATGGGTTTTGTATTCCTGCTCTGCTAAACAAATCCCTTCGCAGACATTCGATTTCTTGGTCCACCATAGTAGATGTGGTCTGAGATGTTTCGGTAGACTGAATGGTTGTACATCGTTGAGATGTCGTTGATGAGACCTGTAGGGGGCGTAACTGTAATCTGCCTGTGACAGTCATGTCTTGGGCTGATGTGAGAAGACCTAGTAGGCTCTGCCATTGTCGCGAGTGGTAGCGGAGAGAGTAGAGCTGGTGGAATGGTCTGTTGTATCTTGAGCCAACGGTCTTCTGGTACCATAATACGGTTCGCGATTTGTGATGAATCGAATACCTAGGAACTGTAGGTCTTTGCGATGGTACTAGGTCCGACTTAGCGTAAGTTTACTAACCAACCCTAGTTGTGTTAGTAGCTTTATGATGTAAATTAACTGTAGTTTGAGGCGCCAGTGGATCTTGATCTACTTGTATCCCGTCATAGTCGGGGGTAAAGCGACTCGCGTAGCCCTTGACGATGTAGAAATTTGATATCGGTTTTCGTTATCCTCGTGAATAGCCAGGGGGCTGATGATATTCCGAATGGGAGTACTTTCCACTGGTAATGTAGCCCTTCTAGAGTAAATCGTAGGTATTTCCTGGAATCGGGATGAATGGGGATGTGCAAGTAGGCATCCTGTAGATCTATGCTGCCCATGTAGTCCATAGGACCGAATCATCTGGCGTAACTGAGGTAAATGTATCATCGCGCGAAACCCGGTGGTTTTCGTGCGAGATAGTTCTTGTTGAAAAAGCTCATGTTGTAGATGAGTCTGTATTTCTCCGTGGAGTTTTTCTTGGGAACTAGGAAAACTGGGGGAGTAGAAACCTGGTTCGACGTTTGCTTGATCTATTACTTCTATGGCCTGTTTGGATAGGAGTGATGAGACAGCCTCTTTTATCTTTGGTAGTTGTTGCGCTTGTAAATCGAACTTGGGGGGTTTGATTGTCAGCGGAGGCTTGTCCTGTAGAGGGATACGAAATCCGTGTTGAATAATGTTGGAGACGTAAGGATCTTGCAGTATTCCCCAGTTTTCCCAGTGTAGTTGGAGGCGTCCACCCACTTGAGCTGGTTGTACTGGAACGGCTGGGGGTGGAAGACTCCAGTCGTCCCGAACCTGTGTTTCAGCGTCTATAATTGCGGGAACCTCTGGGTGTCCTGCCTCTTCCTGATCCTCCTCTATAGTTGCCATATGGAGCGAAAAGAATCTTTACCTCTAGAGCTGGCTATCTTCCTGTCTCTTGCTCTTTGTAGGCCCGTGAACTTAGATCTGCCTGAGTATCTTTGTGAAGTCTGACGAATGGACGGCTGGCTAGTGTGTCCATCGATCTAATCATAAGGACTTCCCTGGAATCCTTAGAGACTTCCTTGGCGACCTTGTCGATTTCTCCGTCAAAGATGGATGTTGTCGACCACCACGGGCTGTATAAAGTGGGCTGTAAAGTTCTCCCCAATTACAGGAGGCGAGGAGGCCTTGACGACGAGAGCTAAGGTCAATGCTGCTGAAACAGATGTAAGATGATCCGTTAAAACTGCTGATCTTTCTTTTGCATAAGTAAGGCAGAATAAATCATTCTATCATCTTCCGTCGTGGAATCCCGGAATCTAGTAATAAGAGTCTCATTGATAGTCCTAGATCTATTTAACCCAAAGAACATCGTCTCGTCATGGTTTCTATATGAGCCAACTGCGATCATCCATCTTGTAAATCTTGTTCTTTACATCGCTGATGATCTTATAGTTCTCATCGATGTCCTGGGCCTTGTAGAAGGAGTCCATGTTATCGTGGAGAACTTCTTGGCTTGAAAGTTGGGTAGATGTGGTATCTGAACTTTCGTAGCTTTCTGGAAAGCTGCATCTAGATTCTGTGGCACTTCCGCAATCGAGGTCGATCGGGGTAGAGTGATTGCATCTGGATCATCTTCCTTCATCAAATACGTCTGAGCTGTATTGCCACTTTTAGATGGTGATGTGAGATCTAGGTTATTGACCATCCAATACCGTATCTCTGCATCAGAAAATATGATTCCTCCATCATCCTCAAAACCATCATCATTAATAAATTGTAGATGCTCTTCGGGACTGCGTGTAGCTGTCTGTATATCTGATGAGGTTTGTGGCGATCTAGTTGACTTGTGCGCCGCTCTATGTGGAGATCTGATGGGTGATCGACCTGGTGATGAACGGAGTGGAGATCGTCTATGGGATGATCTTCTCGGAGACTTGTGAGGTGAATGTTGATAGCTTCGCGAAGCTCTTCGGCAGTCCCTCGATGTTCTTCTAGACGATGAAGATCTGGAATCATATGTCCTTCGCGAATGCCTTCGCGAAGCTTCATTTGCGTCCGGTCCGGGGGATCGATGATATGACCTTCGCGAAGGCTTCCGTGATGTCTGATGGTCTGAGTCCATATCTAGAGATGAAATCGAAGATGGTGATGATCTCTCCCGCCTTCGCGAAGGCCTTCGCGAAGGCTGTACATCTAGGTCCTTCGTCAAGGTGGTGCGGGACTTCCTTCGCGAAGGTGACATCGTCTTGGCTGCTACGTTGACGGGGGGTGCCTCTGGGGTGCTGTCTACGCTGGAGCCTTCTTCGGTTCGCTCGGACCCTGCTAGCGCAGTTTGTAGTGGTCCTCCATGATGTTCATAATCTGCCGCATCATGTCTTCTGGGATGATCTCAGACGAAGTCGCCGGGCGCCTTTTCTGCGATGGGGTTCACATCAATGACGTCTGACGTCGGTGTAGAGGCATCAGGCTGCATGGAGATCTCTGCAGAAGTCACAGTCGCTGACACCGGTCGCTTCTTCTGCCGTAAGTCGGGGATGATTATCGGCTGATCATCGTAGAGGCCCAACTCTGCTGCTGGAACGATCTCGGCTGAGAAAGTTCTTGCTGTCTTCGTAGATTTCCCTTTGGAAGTCTGCGCTGCCCTGGGTGTCCTCAATCTGCGTTGAGACGACGATGAGGCCCTCTTAGACTTAGTCTGCAATGACGGGATGTCTGGGGAGGCCGGTCGTTTCTTCGAGGTAACGGACTGCGTCCCACGTTCCTCTGCCGCAGGGGTCTCTAGCAGAACACCAGACGGGAGAGGGTCGATCGCTAGCAGCTGACTGGAAGGAATATCTGGACTCTCTGCCATGTTTTGCCCTTGTTTGCGTGATCTATCTGCAGCACGTCTTAAGACGCAAAGATGATATTTATTAAATGCAGAATGAGATAAATTAATGCAGTAACTGCAACGTGAATTAAACGCACACGGCGTAGAACAACTAGGGCATATTACATGTGGATCGGAGGCAGAAAAACGTAATCTACAAATCGTACAGATTTTCATGAACGTAAAGCTAGCTGAACAATCACGAATACACGTGAATAAACAGTAGAAATACGATAATTAATCAATACAAATAGTAAAGGATACTAGCTATACCTCTATAGTAACCTATGAGAGGTAAAAACTAAGAGATTATCAAAGGATATGTGTGTAAGGAGACACAAGGCGCTCTCACATCCTGCTCACTGGGCGAAGAAGGAGAGAGTGAAGCACATGGCCAGAGGGTGGCGACACCTTTTCCCGCCAGGGGAGACAAAGGGGAGCAACTCGTGGTGAGTACCAATTAGTGATTTTATTTTGAAGGGAGCTTCAAATAAGGAGATACAAGTGTTCCACTATGTTCGCAAGAAGAAGAAGACAAGCAAAAGAGCATGAGTCAGGATAAGGAAAAATATCGGCCATGTTATGTAAGACCACCGCCTATAAGCCAAGCAGCCCACATGGCAACATCAGTAACAGCATCAACAGCAACGCGCACAGTAGATCAAGTCAGCACAGTGGTGGCACACGACACCCAGTTGGGTGGAAAGTAACAAGTGGAAGGAAGAAAAAAACACAAAGCGGAGAATAAGAAAAAATGCAAACACATGTTAGCTAAAACACATTAGATGTTAGTTTGATTCAATGAAACAGTAAAAATGTGTGACTACAGTGTTTGACACAGACCAAACTTTGTCAGTGATTCAAAGCACCAGCACATAGAAAAATCTACTGGTCCTGTTAGATATCTAATAAAACCAATGCCCCTGACCAAAAAAAGAGTTTAAAATGTATTACTTTCTTGTGTAATATGAATGAGAAACCAGCCAAGAAGGTAACCACTGTTTCAGGGTTATGTTATCATGGTTACTGATTTTGCTAGTAGTTTAGAATTTATCGATGAATTATATCAAAAGTATTACTAGGCCACCAGACCAGTATTTATTTCACTCATATACTTGATTTGGACCAGAGCATCAGTGTAAGTGTCAAACACTGTCACTACCAACACACAGATTGGTGCACTACAACTGGAATGAGACATGCTAACCAATCAACAAACTAGTGTGCCTAACTGGAATGAGACATGCTGACCAATCAACAAACTGATGTGCCTAACTGGAATGGGTGTCAAGTGAAATGGAAGATGGTGAAGTGGATATGATGATACAGAGTGAGACTATGCCACAAACATGAGTTTGAAGGACAAACATGGCTCTTGACATCATTTTCAGTAGATTTTATTAGTGGATGGAACTTTACTCAACTTGGATGCTGGACAAGTAGCTAAAATGGCAAACTTATAGTCTTGTAACATCTTTCCATATTGGGAATGAAAACAAGATATATTTTACTTATCCTGAGGCTTATCAACTCTTATTGTCAGATCACAGGTTTTAGGATGTCACATGTTTTCAGGTGGCAGTGTTTACTTGCACTATAACATGGCGGGTTGTGTTACACAGACATTGCAAATACTTGATTATGGCTTGTGTTTAAGATAAAGACGTCTTTAATAGGTTAGTGGCATGTTTTACAATTGTTCATGTGATCATCAAGATAACAATGGATGATCTTAATCCTCTGAAAACCCATAACACAAAGATAGCATGAGACAGCTATTGCACAGATTAGACATGTGAGCCATGTTGACATGTGACTGCTAAAGCATGTTTTCGAAATTTGACAATAATATGCCTTTCTAGAAATGTGACAGTTTTTAAAGTACTGGACATGTGACAAGTAAATTGCATCTGAGACATGTGACAGCCAAACCCCATGCTGGACATGTGACAGGTAAACCCTAATGATGCACATGTGACAGGTAAACCCCAATAATGGATATGTGACAGTTAAACCCCAATGATGGACATGTGACAGGCAAACCCCATGTTGGACATGTGACAGGTAAACCCCAATAATGGACATGACAGTTAAACCCCATGATGGACATGTGAGAACTAAACCCCAATGATTCACATGTGACTGTTAAACCCCATGTTGGACATGTCATGTTGGACATGTGACAGGCAAACAATGATGGACATGTGATATGGACATTGACAGGCAAACCCCATGTCTGTTAAATGGACATGTGACAATGATGGACAGTTAAATCCCAATGATGGACACATGACAAGTAAATCCAATGATGGACATGCAAGATGTACATTGCATGTTGGACATGTGACAGTTAAACAAATTGATGAAGAAGTGACATCTACCTCCTGTTTTGAACATGTCACAAACATGGATAACTCCCAGACTGAGCAACAGCAAAAGTCCCAAAACTGACAGTTCATGGCACTGACACCCAATATGAAAAACCTGTTCTTCTAACTTTCTTTCGAGCATGATCATGAATTGTGTTTATTGTTTTTTCTCTTGAAAATATTTGTGTTTAAATACAGTCAAACAGTTGTTTTGTTTCACTGGTGTTACAAAATAACAATTCACTACAGTTACTGTTAGCAACAGGAATTTATACATACTTTGTACATCAGTGATTCAATTAACTACTATGCCATTATTGCCAATAACGATCAGCAAGAAAAGTTATATTGGACATTCATTTCATTTTCTTGTTATTTGTCGCATATGTTTCCTGCTATTCATTATTTAGCCAGTTGGTAAATGTACGCCAACTTCATTCATTAGTTGCATCATAACTTGGATGACTTGAGTATTTACGTAAGTTCTTTACAGTTCCACACAACACTGCTTGACTGTGTTTAAGACAAAACATTTTTTAATAGTTAACACATGGATTCTGCCAGTATTGTAGCAAGTTAGATGCTGACAACAAAACATGCTCATTCTTCCAATATCATAATTAAATACCTTCCTATGCCAGCTTCTCTTGTATACATGCTGTCATCCCAAAAAGGAAATAAAAAGCTCAGTCATCATATGGATAAATTGTTTTGGCCCTTCACTCATCATCAAGTTAAAGATACACAACCTGAACTCTTCATCATGAAATCGTATCATATATGAGTATCTCCAACATAAAGTTTTTGAAAGGCATTTAGAAGTTGGATGAACATGAATTCTTTACAAGACGTTTCAGAGCTAATTCTTGCTACTTCATCAGTGAAACCTGATCAAGGAGCAAGAATTAGCTCTGAAACATCATGTAAAGAATAAAAAAGAAATTGTTATCCATAACGTGTTATGTATTCATCTCCAACATGGCTTCTCACATGTCAATCTACTTGGCTAACTCCATAAGAACATCGTTACTCAGCACCCCAGCATGTCACATGTCACATGTCTCCTGCAAGTCACATACCTGGACACCTATATCATGTCACCTAATGCATGTCACAAAACTTCTTTCAAGGAACCAAGGACTCCAACATGTCATATGAATGTTATGTTTTCCAATCAGTGTTATGCATATATACTAGGGTTTGTGGGCAATCAGTCTCATTTCACAACCTGCTGTTTTACTCATGTATGTAGACAGGTGACATTCGGCTAAACCTTCTGTTACACTACAGTTTGTGGGCAGGTCAGTCTCTTCTACCCAGTCTTATGGCACAGTTTATTGGCAGATCAGTGTCACATTTTGCTACCTGTTTACTCTGCTGTATGGGTTTGTATGTGTAATTACCTACTACCTACTGAAACACTCAAATCTGTTGTCAGATCAGGCTAACGTGAGTGCTGCAGTTGGTTGGCAGATTAGTTTCTCTACCTGCTGTAACACTAAAAGCCTGGTTTGGTATTGCGATAGAATTACACCAGAGTATGAAGATCAGTCTCAATACCTACAGCTCACCTCTGTAGGTGGATCAGATTTGCTACAGCTGTTGTCATGGTTATGCTACAACCTGTAGGCAGATCAACTGCATGTCTCGCTTCCTTATGTTATGCTACAGAGTATGTAGCTATTGGCAGTAAGCACACTGATTAAAAAAGTTAAAAATTCTAATTGTTTAGTAATTATTGTAATAAAGATGATTGGTAGTTCACGCTGGCTCAAATCACCTCCTCCAATACAAGACTTGTTATCTTTCTTTCACTCAGATATTGATTCGATTCCTGCATAAGGATATGGAAAAAAGCATATCTTTTCATGGAATAAACAAAAATCCTTTACTTAATAGTGAATGTATTTGGCAACTATATCACAGTCAACAATTGTACATAAACATCACAGTAGCTTTCAACGTATACTTGGGGAGCAGCAGGCAAATAAATTGTCTTTAGGCATGGGGACCAGTCTAAGTAAATTTAGGCTCAGTATTATTCGTTACACTGCTATACTGAATCTAACAAACCCCAGTAAAAGGTCGCGTCAGCTAACCTTTGAGTGACCTATGACTGTCCAATCACACGCGATACAACCAAACAGATTTAACCAATCAGACAACGGCTACTATTTTAGGGTTCTGCGGGACTTACAAAATGGATTTGGGATTTTTCATTTTTGAGGTAAAAGTTCAAACGGTATGTGTGCATGTTAACTTTCGCAATTTGGTAAGCTGTGTTCTGATTGGTCAATTCAAAAGGTTAGCTGACACAACCTTCTACTAGGGTTTGTTAGACTCTCAGTATAGTCTAACGAATAATACACAGCCTAAGTTTACCAAGACCTACATGGGGACAGTATTAGTCCCAGATGGTTACCCATACGTTGTGTAACCAACTTAAGGAACCATTGTCACCCACTGATTTCAGTTACAATTGTTTACAATAACAAGTATGGAGGTACACCGGACTTAAAATGGGGTTGACTATAGACTTTATTCTTAAGGAAAATGAGAAAAACAAACAACTGATACTGAAAAAATAATATTCTTAGGCACTTTTGAAATATCTGAATCCTCATTACTTAATGTGATGTCATTCACCCACCATATACTTACCTCAACTCACACAGAAGAGAGGAATCAACCGGGTTATGCTTCAGACATCATGCCTACTTATGTGTGATTACATACAAAGTTAAAACAACAAAGATCTCTCTATTTACAACATAAAAATCTGTGCAAAAGGCAGTCGGCAGATTCTGTGATATGATGTAAGCCCACCTGGACCTGGGAGTACAGGCTTAGGTCACTTCTAACAGTATTTATAGTCATATTTTGGCATGACTGTTCAATGTTGAGGGAAGGCAGAGGTTTATGTTTTTTCACGTCAGTGAAACAAACAAGTATTTCATTTTCTGATAAACCAAGTAAATCTATAGATCCCACAATTAGAGGATCCTGACAGCTAAGGGAGGCAACTTTCTCGAAAACTTACAGTACTTCAGATAAGACAGCTCCGGCCTAGCCCACAGTTGGAAGAGTCCATGTATGATGATTAAAATATAAAATGATTCAAACTTCCTGACATTAATGAATTTCATCTCCTGTCACCAGTTAGTTTTTACACTGGGGGACCCAAACCACCAACTACCCACTAAGGTTCCTGCTCATTCCTGGATTTATATCATACACAACTACTAACCACTAAAACCTCAATGCACCCTGGGTTACAATCTCACACATACCTCCTTCATTGGCATACGGATCTTGAGGATGTCAGCATATCTCTCCAACACCTTATAAGGAGCATGGATCTTCATGAAGTGTGTCTCGCCATTCCTCTACAATTGGAACAAATCCTAGAAATACAGACTATACTGTGGTTTTTGAAGCTACATGCTTATATAATTAAGAGATAAGACAGTGTGTTGGGTTAAACATTGATTTTGAACAGTATTCCTGATATATCGCAGAATGTCAACTTCATTTTGTAGGAAAGCCTGAATTGACAAAGGACGTTGGCCACTTTGAAATCTACATGCATAGGGTGCTGACAACTCTACAAACAGGAACGGGAAAACCAGGGGAATCCAAATGCAAAGTACCGGTAAACTGTATCACATAAGTCACCTGTGACCCAGGGTCCTGTTCCTCAAAGTGATCGTAACCCTAAGACAAGCGTAACTCCTATACTTTAACATAGACTTACGACAGTCATAGCACTACAATCGCCTTTGTGGATCGAGGCCCTGAAGAAGTCAGATATTCCCTCAAATATATTACACCTATAAAAGTAAAATGTTTATATGGAACCGATGATCTTTTTTGATCATTATGTTAAATGTGTTTTTTTAATCTATGAATTAAATTTCATGAGAAGAACAACACATAAATACAAGAATAAAACATTATATTCATGCAGAGCATGGACATGATGGGGGCTAGTCTCACCTTATCATACTCCAGTTCAAGGCCTTCATCACGTAGGTTATTCTCAAAGATCTTTCTTGATTCCTCAGCCTCTTCCTGTTTCTTAACCTTGACCTTCCAAGCAAGGACAAAGTCGATTTGACGGTCCCCATCTTGAAAGAACATGTTGCGTACCTGCATGGTTGAAACATCAGAAAAAGCTTAACATTAATTAGGGAAACAATACACCTGACAAAAATTCCACACGAATGTATCCAGAATTGTTGCCATTTTTAATTAAATGTACTAACAACCTCTTGTAAAGCCACATATTTCATCAAGATCATAGACAACAGTGTCATGACAAAGCTTTGAACAAAGTTCAACTATCACTGTAGCTAGACCTTCACAGCCATAACATCACATAACAAAACATAGTTTTGAACTGAATAACCACAACTACATGTATAAATACATGTGCTAATGTAACCTACGAAGCATTTTCTTGTCAAACAAACAAAATTAAATGAAACATAGCCTTATGAATAAAATCATAATCAGAATTTATTATCTAAAGAATCAATCATGCTGTAGATTTAAAAACGTGCAAGAGGTGAGAAAAATGTAAACAAGATCAAACAAAACACACACACCATGCAGACAAGTCTTGAACAAACTGGAGTGAAAACAATCAATCAACATGAACCCGACGATTCTGTATATTATCTTACTGTGTGAGCAAATTTTATATCATAAATACGGATAGACAAAAACAAGCAAGGTGCATTCTGTAAGCTGGCAGCTTACCCAAACTATTCTTTAAAGCATAAAACATAATATGTCAAAAGATACAAAAACTTTGAGTGCAACAAAATTAAGGTAAAATGTCTATCTCAAGAAAATAAAATTTCTTCTGGCACTTATTATGGTCAAGCATTACATTTCATTATTTATCTACCCAAAATATAAATATAGAATAAAGAGAACTCCCTAATGCTGACCAACTAACACAGGCAGTACAACATCATTGTGAGTCTACCTGCCAGACCCAGTCTTTTAGTTTTATCATAAATTATTGTATTGTATTCAGCGTTAAACATATTGGTAATAGCTGAGCATACTCAACAGAACGTTATTTCAAGACTCACAAGTGACTATAGTAGCAGACTGGTGTGTTTGGTTCAAGATTTGATTAGATGAATAAAATGACAAATTTGCAATCTACATTTAATAACTACCCGGTACATGTTCGGCAGAAAATTACTTCAAAATATTTGAAAATCAAGGTACTGTGAACATTTATTGCTATGGAATTCCTGAGTGTTATGAAATGCTTGTTCATTCTTTAATGCTGCACTTCAATATTCCAGTTCTTGTGACTGTTTCTCATAAATAATCAACATGATCAAGTGGCAGTGACAATCCAAAGATTGACATGCTGAGCATCGATTTATACAACTGGGATGTAATAACATGCATCACCCAGGTCGGCAAGTCTGACCTCCTGATGCCATTATTTGTCTCACATGACAAGAACTGGTTTGTTGGAGACCCAAGGCCAATAATAAAATACACAAGCTGTAGGACTTGCTGGCATGCCACATCCAATTTCCTAACAGTTTTTACCACTGGAGTCATACAGATTCCATGTCCGATTAATACATGATCGAATCACAGAACATGTAGCAGTAATAGGGTGTTGTCAGGTTTGGCACTAGTGGAAACAATATTACATGTCAGATGTTAAAACACTTAAGTACATGATGCACACAACTGCTTACATTCAATCACAGTTGGAAGACTGATGTCACAAGCACACTGAGTATCCATATTGATTGTTAATTATGTGTATGGAATTTCTACACATAAATACAAGTAGTGTTTTAACAAAATATCTCTGATAAGAATGGTACTTTACCATTAGAAAGGCTGCATAACTGTTCAGTCTCACATAAATTTACAGATATTTTTAATACAATGATTTGGTTACTCAAATATGTCACAAGTGGATATATGTCACAGTACCATTTTCAAAACAATAGACTAGTTCCATGGCTCATTTTTCTGTTACTTTTGTCATGTAGAGCTTATGAAGCTAAATGTAACAGTAGGGTCATATTTGTGTACCTCAGTTTAGAATAGAAGGTAACAATATGTCACCTATTTCACAAACATGTTGGTGAGGATTCTCAAAATTACTGGGCCATAGTGCAAGTATACAATGCCCTTGGCCTGGGCAGTCAATGTCAGAAATAATCTCATAAATATGAATCTCACTATAAAATGTTTCATGAAAGAACAATGCTATATATTCCTAAATCTGAAATGTGAAAAGACACTGCTTAAAACACATACCTAATGTTTAACTGAGGCCATTTTCCCTTTCTACTCCAAACGTTACCTCAGTCACCTAATGTAACGTGTGCAGTCCAACCTGGCTCCAGCAGATTTGTCATATCAAACATCATGTATCATGAAATACCACTGTATATGTAGAACAGTGTTGTATCTACTTACATGTCATAAAATATATGAAGTATGTACTTATAAAGCTGTTGATGTGAAGCTCTTTTCTTTACTTTGCTCTCGACAGCCTACTGGTACATGGGTCAGGAGCGTTTTATATGACAGGGCCCAGGAAGCCAAAGGCACCTAGAACTGGTCACATATAATTGTGAAACGACATTATGTATGTAGGATATGGATGTACCTTCCTAGATAAGGCTTGAAAAAATAATTCTATGTCATGACAATTCAATGTCACGTCTAAAATGTCACAGACAATTCCTCACATCATTACGTGATGGTAATCTTGTATGCAAGGCTTTGTAGCATGTGATTATGAAAAGATGAAGAAAAGTATACATGTTTCATATGTTTATTTCCTGTGTGCCATCTGGGTCAGGTTCTTTTCGTATTTATGAAACCAACTGAGTTCACAGCATCTGTTCTGTTTAGTGACAACTGTTTAGAAGGATAAATGACGTGACTAACTATTGGATATGTAAGTTAAGACATATTCACTATCAGCCAATTATCTGTCAGGTACCTGTGACCTGACGTATGTAGAACAGCAACATTTCACTTATATCTCAAATCAACATGTGATAATACACTGCATGGAATATGTAGGAGGCACATAAACATGAAGTAATATTTTCCTTCCTGCACTCTACAGAGCAATGTGCTCTGACATGGCCTTGGAAGCAAAAGATGAGAACAGGAAAAAATGTCTTAATGTCTAATTATTACAAAATGTGGAAACTTGTCTCCTTCAATGCAAGAAGTGACTAAACTGAAGCCTATTTTCTCCCACAGATTTATTCAATACCTCGTGTTTGAGTGAGCAGTCCCATTTGTCCTAGTACCCATTAAACTAGACTTCACGCTTGCCTGCTAGTAAGTGGGCTTGTCAAAGGTTCAAGACTAGTGGAATGTTGAGAGCCACTTGCCCATCCATAATGTGTTTAAGTCCTAGGTCAATAAACACAATTGGATGGTTTTATCTTGTCCTACAAAACTTGGGATGAAGAGGGCCTCTATTTACCCAGTACTAAATTAAAGGGTACTCATAGTACAACTGTGCTGAGAAGTAATGAGCGAGTGAGTTTAGTTTTACGCCGCACTCAGCAATATTCCAGCTTTATGGCGAGGGTCTGTAAATAATCGAGTCTGGACCAGACAATACAGTGATCGATCTACGCAATTGGGATACGATGACATGCGTCGACCAAGTCAGTGAGCCTGACCACCCAATCCCGTTAGTTGCCTCTTTCAACAAGCATCGGTTACTGAACATCAATTCTGACCCAGACCTTCATGGGTACTGTGATGGAATGACATAGTATACCATATTGAAAGGTGTAAAAGTAACATTTATAACAGGAACTTTATATTTTTTTGTCAAGAATTAGGTACAGTGAGTATTACTATGCATACATCGGGATGCAATATATATCTTTTCTGTTCATACATTTCAATTTATACTTTACAAGTACGGTACTTGTAACAACTAGGAGTTACGAACAATTAAGGAAAGGCTATTCATGTTTATCATGTTTTCTACTACTAGCCTGAGTGGCCCATGATGCTTTCTTGATATGTTCCAAAGCTGTTTATGATAATTAATATGGACATCAGTGACAGTTTCAGTCTGCAAGCAATGTTAAAAGATATTAACCAAGCTTATCTGTTAGCCCTGAAATGTTGAACATCATATACCTGTATACTCGTTCGGGAGTAGTCTGTCTCACAGTCCCTGAACCACATTATTTTCCCTACTGCCTAGCCCTCTCTGCAATGCTAAAGCCCTCAATAAAGCAGGTCTAGATTTCCCCAGGTTCAGGTTCTGAATCTCTGGTCTCCAGTGTTCACGAATGGTGTTTCAAGGTAACAGGACATTGGGTCCTGTAAGTTTCAGATGTCTGTCTGACCCATTGAAAATTCACAGGACCCACAGAATAAAATTAAACACACATTTCAGATTTAACATTTCTTATAATTGGCATTGAAATTATTAACAAACATAAGATTTATTAACAGCAAACAAGTGTCACATGTCACATATAACAACTTCAGTCAAAGTCATTGTGAAATATACAGTCAGACACTGGGGCCGGCGGGTTGTACAGTTCTATCAGACCGTTGGCAAATCTGCTGGATTTGTCAGAGGGTCAGACGCTATTCGTGAACACTGGGTCTCCCTGGGGCTCCTTTTCAATTTAAATGGGCATGTTTGTTATTATTGAACTTATATATATTCAGAGACTACCGGTAAGCATTAGTCTAGTTCGGGAGCTGAGAATAGCATTCGTGAAAAAACTGATATTTTGTAACAAACTAATAATGGTGCAGTGCACTGAAAATACATTAGTATGAAATCTCACAAATTATAGTTATACTTATTATCTAATATCACTAACATCATTTTCAGTTAGGCCTGATATTTTGGTATGCGCTTAAAACTAGTAATTAAGGTTGCTGACTGCCATCACAATGAATGGACACTGACAAATGGGGATTAGAAGGAAAACTGATCTGCAAAACACAAAGAAAAAGCACTCTGATCCTCAAAACATGTGAGGGATAGCAAAAAGTTCTGAGCCTATCTTTGATGAACTTCAATGACGGTGTTCTTAATCACTGCTCAATAATATTCCCTCAAGGTCCACACATTTTGACCAACAATTTCAGGTGTGCCC